AGAGTAGTACAAGAAACATTTTGTCCCTATCATAGTCAGCTTTGTGGTCTCTGTGTGTGTGTTTGTTTATTTTTTAATGGAGAACAGAAGATTGATGGATGAAATTAAGAAGAGGGATGTGTAATTGGAAAACAGCTCAAGAAGGCTACAGGCAGCATATTGAAGGCATCCATCAAAGATCCAGCTAATGTTGTTACGGGTGTGTAACACAAACAGGGACTGCAGGAGACACTAAGAAAAAAAAAAAAAAGAAAAGGGAAGACAAAGGGGAATAGGCAGGACAGGGGAAATAGCAAGGGAGGAGAAGAGCCAGCAAGAGAGTACAATCAATAATATTTGTATGTTACGGGTGTGTAACACAAACAGGGACTGCAGGAGACACTAAAAAAAAAAAAAAAAAGAAAAGGGAAGACAAAGGGGAATAGGCAGGACAGGGGAAATAGCAAGGGAGGAGAAGAGCCAGCAAGAGAGTACAATCAATAATATTTGTATTGCTGTCGCATCCAAAGGCTCCTGTTGGGCTCAGTGCAGGACTGTACAATCACATTAAGAGACAGTCCCTGCCCTCTACAGCTTAAACCCAGGAATTACGGGATGGTCGCTGGAGATGGGTTTAGATGATCACAAAATTTTCTTCTGATCTTGAATCTCACTTAATAGGATCTACTCTGAATGGGTTTAAAGGCAGAAGGAAGGTAGCTGATTGTGCCAAGAATACACATGGTAAGGCCCGCCAGCCAGGCTTGCAATTAATCTGAACCACTTAGGGAACTTTGTTTTTAATTATAAAAAGTAGGTAAAACTATGTGCAGTAAACCTCCATAAGCCCCACCGGGGCCATCAGCAGCTACCCAGAGGCATTGGCATGTGACTGGGTTTTAATGCAGTGTTTTCAAAAGGATGGTCTGATGCTTTAATGGACCCCTTTGCGGGAGATATTTCATGCAGGGTGGATATTAAGAAAATGCAAAGGTCCTTTGTGTGGGGAAGGAGAGAAGATGAATGCTAAAATTATTAGTATGCCAGGGGATTCCTCTACTCCTGGAAACAGGGAAGAAGAGGAAGTCTTGGGGACCACGAAAAGGCAGGTGAAAGATGTAAAGGAACAGAGAAGAGCACAAGCATGATGGATGCAGGGGGCAGCAGTGGGGGGGGAAAGGTAAGGTTTTAAAGAGAAAATAAAGTATTCCAAGACAGATTTTCTGTAAATGGGGTAAAAGTCAGACACCTCTGTGAGGTTCACAAGTGACCTGGTGCTTTATGCAGGGATTAACTTCTTCAGGATTACATGCTTTGGAAAAGCAATAGGGAGAAGGTGCATGTAGAAATAAATGAGCAAGGAGCACCAGGGGAGTTGCACACACAGGCAGCATCTCTCCTTGTTTGCAGTGTTCGGGAAGCATGATCAGGGCTGGCTGTGAGGAGGAGGAGGAGGAGAAAGAACTAGAAAGGGAATTCGTTAAAGCTCTTCTAACTCTGATCCACTCTCCTCGGTGCTCTCCTGGTAACACAGCTGCCACCGCCGCCTCCTCCTCTCCTTCCCTCCAGAAGCGACCTGAGCGCGCAGCAGTGGCAGGCCCGCTGCATAGAGACTCTGCCTGTATAATTAAGGGCTTTTATTAAAGGAAGAAAAAAAGAAAAAACACTGGCTGCCTGGCTGTAGTGCAGGGACATTGGTAATTGCAAGCATACTAGAGGAAGCAAGGAGCTGTGATGACCCCCAGCCCGGGCCCAGGTGGACCTAGGTGTCTGCTGCTGCTACAAGGCAGTGCAAAAGCTCTCCTTGGATTTCTTTGATGGCTTTTTCTGTTCCTGTGGCCCCAAGTGATGGGAAGCTTTGCTGTGTGCTGCTAGGCTGGTAAGGGAAAGGATTTTCTGGAGAGAAAGCAACCCCTGCTGTGGGTATCAACGTCCTGCCTTGTGTCTAGCCTAGATCTGGGGCTTACCAAACACCTACATTTTCAACACTAAGGCTTGAAGGAGATTCTTGTACCTGGCCTGGACCCAGCTATCAGAAAGCAATGAGGTTATGCAAAGCCAGCATGTTTGCTGCACAAGGCTCTTGCTGGCATCAGCAGAAGACTCCCACGTGCCCCTGGCCACACATTGCTTGAAAGTAGAGAAACGGCCAGCGTGGTGTTCCCTGAGTGAGGAGGCTAGAAGCATTAGAGATTATAACCACAAATGGTTGGTTTGGGGACCAGTGGAGATAAGTTCCCTGGAGGGATTGCTCCAGCATGGTACTTTCGGTGTCTAACACAGAATGAGCTCACGTTGCAGCAATTTCCTTAATAGGGCTTGTAAGTATCTACTTGCCTGCCAGAAGACTTGCTGAGATATGCTAGTCTTTTGTCAGATTTTGCTGAAATGGGTTTGATAGTTATTGGCAGTAGGGCACTGATGAACCCTGCGACCGCATAATCCTTGTTTTGTCAGGAGAACAAGGTAAAATGTCAAGGGATAAAATTAAAGACAGGTCCCAAGAAAGATTAATTTAGAATAGCATCCACCGATACATTCCAGGAGTACCGTGTGGCTGCTGTCACTGCAAAGCAGAGCCCTTTTGGACCAGTAGTCATGTTTCTTCTCACACGACTCTCTAAGGCTGAAGCAGGGCAGTCCTTCCCCTTTGGACAGATGAGGAGTTGCTGAGCCCAAATCCCACACAAGGAATTTCGTTTGCACTCAATGTGCATGTCTCCCTTTGAGGACCTTGGTTTTAGACGAACGGCCTTCAGTACACCTAGGAGGTCCCTGGCAGTGTAGGAATTTAAAGCCAACCAGTTTGAACCTGCTTTTCAGTGCCTATAGAAGAGCTGGGGAGGGACTCTTTGCCAGGAAGGGTAATGATAGGACAAGGGGAAACGGTTTTAAATTGGAAGAAAAAAGATTCAGATTAGATCTCAGGAAGACATTTTTTACTATGAGGGTGGTGAGACACTGGAACAGGTTGCCCAGGGAAGTTGTGGATGCCCCATCCCTGGAAGTGTTCAAGGCCAGGCTGGATGTGGCCTTGAGCAACCTGCTCTAGTGAGAGGTGTCCCTGCCCATGGCAGGGGGGTTGGAACTAGATGATCTTTGAGGTCCCTTCCAACCCAAACCATTCTATGATTCTCTGATTCTATGATTCTATGCTTTCCATCCTTAGTGTCAGGGTGATGCCATCACCCTCTTCCCTCAAATTGCCTTCAGCCTAGGAGAGCAAGAGGGCCTGGTGGGGCCGTGCCATTCAGCAGCTCTCCAGTTCCCAGGGCGTGTGACTGTAGTTTCCCAACAGAAATCTCTCTGCGGGAGGATTACGAAAGTTTTATGCTCCCTCTGGCCTCCTAGTGTGCATCGCTGCGGTAGTGAGAAAGTCCACCAGGAGAAATATTTGGCGTCACAAGGGCAATCCAAGAGGAAACAGATTACAGATGTTACCAGGAGGGAGAGGGGAAGAAAATCCAGCTATCGGACATCAGCCAACCTATTTGGAGTGATAGCAGAAAGTCCTCAGATGGTAACAAGAAACTTTTCTTTGTACCAGTCAGTGTTTCCATGGGCTGCTGTTCCGCAGCAGCAGAAGTGGATCCCTCTTTCTGGAGCACTGCTTTGGTTGCTGGTATGTAATAACAGTATGAAGAGGTTTTGTACCCAGAGAGGGACCACAGCAGAAGCTAGAAGCTTGGAGGAGAATGTTCCTGGCAGTATGCCATAGTCATACAGAAGGCAGCACAACCACTAGACAGTCCCATCTGATGTAGGACTTTCAGAAGTCATCTCTGGGATGTCACGCTCATAGGAGTTACTGCGCACACGTTCTTAAGGGCCCTTCAAACAGGTGAGTCAGAACTGGGATCTCATCACACCATGACATAGAGCAGAGTTATGCCCAGGGATAAGTGGTCTGCAATTGATGTCCCAATACTTCGGTCTGTATTTTCCAAACTGATCATTAATGTTAGATACTTTGTTGAAAGCATGGATACCTTGAGAAGCCATGGATCTAGTTTTCAGATTGACTGCTCATTAATCATATTATCTATGGTGCTCAATAATTGTGAAAAGTCAAGCTCAGGACTACTGCACCTTGAACCATCTGTAAATAAGCCACCCCCTGTTGATGATTATTCCTGATACGTTTGTTCTTTATTTCTCTTTATTTTCTTTTAGTTCCTCTCACCTTATAGAAGGAGTTTCAAAAGCAAATGTTAACTGTTGCAATTCCTCAGATGTCATGATCATGTACATTACAGAAATACTAAGAAAGAAAGTCTTCTAAAGTCTGTGATTTAAACTAAATGCTGCAGGGCAGTGGCCAAACACTGCAAGCCAGGAGTAGAAAAGGGTGTGGAATAATTAAATTTTCAGCAGGCATCACCAGCACTGTGGAATGACCAAGGCAGGGATTTTGTGGAGAACTTAGTAGGTGATAGCACGCATCATTGATTGCCTCAATGCACCTGCATAAGGAGGATGGAATTAAACCTGCAGGAATGAAAGAGGTGCTGGCTATCCTGAGGATCCCTGACATTTTCTGTTTTGACCACTTGCACATGCAAGAACACAAATCTTGCACAGTTTTAAAAAAATCTACAAAAGGAGCAAATTAAATGGTAGCCACAAAACTCAGGAATGAATACCAGCCCCAGGGAGGGGGCAAGTAACAGTTCTCTCTGGCTTCAGAATCAGCAACATGGATGATCCTGAGTCAAGGACAGTGGGTTCCTCATGGGGCAGCGGGAGGTTCTTTATAGCAACATAAATAGATAAAAGCTGCTATTCAATAGCACAGGAGTTGGCCAGGGCAACTGGATAATGGCTCAGGCCCGCAATGTTAATGGGGCTCCTTGTAAACTTACACTTAGACAAATGCTTTGCTGGTTTGGTGCCCAACATTTATCATGCCTCCCTCCAAGCGAGCCAAACTCAGCCCATTAGTTTGGCCTCTAGACTTACCGTCCTAAAGTTTGTGGTGACTGATATTTCAGAGACCTTACACTTTTTTTCTGCTCTGAAAGGTAGAGAGATGCCTGGGCATTGGAAGCTCTCTGCAGCATGCTGAGGAGACGTAACCTTCTTACCACGCTCCTGATCGCCTTGCCATGGGCTCTTCTCCTAACCTTGTGGCACCAGTATCCAACCACCCGCTACCTCAGCCTGCTGAGAAGTAAGTGCACGAGTTCTGCTGTCAATGTGCTGATGGTTGTGATGATTGCTGGTGCAAACCCTTGGTAGGAGATGCTGTCTCATGGGATGGGTTAAACAAAGACAAACTTGTCTGAAGACCTCCTTAGGGTTTGCCTGCAGCAGGCACACAAACTATTCTTACAAGCACTTTAAATATGCACCTTAATGCTTGCTTTGGGGAGAGGATGCTGATTTGCTGAGCACTGACTCCAGACAGATGTGTCCCCAGCCACGCCCCGGGGAGGAGGCAACCCAGCAGTGATTAGTTCTCTAACATCTTTTATCTTCTTCTTCCTTCCTTCCTTTTGTCCCAGAAGAGACAGATGAGAACGTGACCTCTAAAGCTCTTCTCAATGGTACATCTGCACTGAGAGAAGAAGGCCTCCCATCATGCATTCGGCAGCAGCAAAGCATAGGAGCAACGCCTAAAGTCATCCAGAATTATGTGTACTCCAGGCCTCCCCCATGGTCAGACACCCTGCCGACCATCTTCGTTATCACCCCTACCTACACTCGGCCAGTGCAAAAAGCTGAGCTGACCCGTCTGGCCAACACCTTCCTACACGTACAGAACCTGCACTGGGTGGTAGTGGAGGACTCACCCAGGAGGACCAACCTGGTATCCAACCTGCTGGAGAAGGCAGGGCTCAACTTCACCCATCTCAATGTGGAGACGCCCAAGAGTTTGAAGCTGGGACTGTCCTGGATCCCATCCCACACCCCAAGGGGGACACTGCAGAGGAACCTGGGGCTGCACTGGCTGAGGGACAGCTTCAGCAACACAGCACCACCAGAAGGGGTAGTGTATTTTGCCGATGATGATAACACCTACAGCCTGGAGCTCTTTGAAGAGGTAAGAGCAGTAAAATTACACGGGACAGAAAATCAGGATACAGCTGCAAAGCCTCTTAAGGCTAGATGCTCTTGCAAAGACCTCTAAGATAGGGCTACCACGTGGAATTTCACCATCAACTGGGAGACAAGGGTTCTGGCATGCTGCCTAGAGCCTTTCCTTGCCTGCCCTGCACTCAGTGGGAGCTGGCTACAGGGCAGATGCAAACCTATAGTTATGCAAACCCAGTAGCCATGCTCTAAAGGGCTGAAAGAGCAAAGAGCACGTCTATCATGGTGTAGGCTGCAGACACAAATAGCCTCTCACACGATGTTGCACCAGCTAGAACCCCTTTTGCCAGGGACCAGAGGATATACACTCTGGAATTTATACCTCTCCTCAGGGAGAGCTGACCTGATTTAAATAAGGACTGAAGACAAACTTCTGGCAAAGCATGAATCTGCACTGTTGTAGGGGTGTGATGGGTAGGGGATGATGGAAAAGTTGACTGACTTTTTAATTCACCTTTTCTCCTTGGCTGCCCTTCTGTACTCTGAGTTCCAGCCACCACAACAGGGCTGTACCCCTGGGATCACAGAAGCTTGCCCAGACTTCTGCTGGAAACCTGGCTTTTGTGAGATGCCAAGTCTGTATTGTAAACTTTCAAAAAAATGATTATTCAGTAAACTCCCTTGTCACCAATTTAAGCCAAACTGTACTGCACCACTTGAAACACAGAGCTATGCATCGGAACACATTTCTATTTTTCAGCATTTTTTCTATCTCTGTTAAGCTCATCCTTTCCTATTTCTTTCCAGGTCCCTTCTGACAATTTCAATAAAGCCCCACTCTTTTAGGCAGTAGCCATGGATGGAAGAACAAGGGTGGGGGGAATTTGCAGTAAATGAGGACAAAGACGCATCAGTCAGGGAGGGAGATTGCTTGCATGAGGGTGAAGTTGGAGTGAGTGGAGCTGCAGGCCTGGTAGAAGTTGTTGGGCATTTACAAAAAACGATAAAATTTTACAAAAAATGATAGAAGTTCAGATGAGATCAGAAAACCAAAGGTTTTCCGTCTTCTGAGGAACTGAACGTGGGCAGGGAAAAGCAGTGAGTTTGGTGTTCAGAGAAGAAGGTGCTCAAACAGTGGGAAGGCAACGGGGGAGGAAAGGTGGCAAAGAAAGCAGAAGACGGCACACTAATGGGTTGGGACAAACCTCGCGGGGTTGAATTCTCACAGAACTGTTCCTTCCTGGCACACAGATGCGCTACACCAGGAGAGTGTCGGTCTGGCCGGTGGCTTTCGTTGGGGGGCTGCGATATGAATCCCCAAAAGTGAGCCCAGCAGGGAAGGTGGTGGGCTGGAAAACCGTCTTTGACCCTAACCGGCCCTTTGCTATTGACATGGCTGGATTTGCTATCAGCATCAAGCTGATTTTGGAGAAGCCTCAGGCCAGTTTCAAGCTGGAGGGAGTGAAAGGAGGCTACCAGGAAACCAGTCTGCTGAAGGATCTAGTGACTATGGACGGGCTGGAGCCCAAAGCAGCCAACTGCACAAAGGTGAGTAAGGACAAGAGATCCTGAAGATACGTTTTCCTTGCTGGATCCTGGCTGCTTTTGCTGCCTCGTGCCATGTTCCTTTCATTTCCACTGTGCCTGCCCTGTGCTGGTGCATGTCAGTGCCAAATGGTGCTGGGAGAGACTGGCAGAGCCTGCCAAGTGCTTCAGAGATGGGAAGCTCAGAGAGCAGGAGGAGCAATTAGTGCCATGCACTCTAACTGTGTTAATAACGAGCCTCAGCTGTACAGTTTGCACCCACACTGCTTCTCCAAAATCCAGGAGGACTGGCAGAGGGTTCAGTCCAGGGTTTTGGTCCATAATGATCCTTCCCCCTTCTCACTGTTTCATGCTCCTGTGAAGTCTCTCCCAGGTTCAACCCCTTTGAATCAAATGCTTCAAACAGCTGCAAGCCCCGGGTTGCTGAGGATCCCACCCGATGGATGCACTGCTCTCAGTGTTTCCATGGCATCCAGAGCCCCTGATCTCTTTGTGATTCCCTCTAGGTGTTGGTCTGGCACACAAGAACTGAGAGGCCCACTCTGGTTAACGAAGGCAAGCGTGGATTTACAGACCCCAGAGTAGAGGTGTAAGCAGAGAGCCAGCTCCAGGGTGTGAGTACCCTTCTCTTTATTGTTTGGGGCAAGGCAAATTATCTGTACCTGTTTCCTTATTGATGCTATTATTTCCGCAAAGGCTGCCTATATGACTGTTTCAGTAACTCCCTTACCGTGCCACCCTTTGCACAAGAGATCCTCATTTTTACCAACTTACAGCTTGCATTTCATACTCATTCAAGCCTCCTTGCAGTCCATATGGAAGCTTCGCCTGCATAGAGACAAAGTGGCAGAATAATCCTGTGGTTTCACTCAGTAATAATGACAAGCCAAATTCCTTGCTCCCCATTTTCTGCCTCCAAATTCTCTTCCATGTGGGAGTTGTCCTACAGTGTGTGGAAGGAGATCACACTCCTGCAGACGAGCTCTTCCCCAGCAGCCCTGCCACTTCTGAAGTGCTTCATGCATCCACCTTCAGCTTTTATCCTGCATAAACAACTGTGGTGTGGGCGCAGCAGGGAAAGGCTGATGGGACACTTAGACGACCTCAAAACAGGAACCAGCAAAGAGCAACCTACACAAACTCTCACACAGTTCGAGAGGCTCGGTACCAACATTACCAGACCTAGGAATGCATCTGCTGCTGAGGAGAAATATGGAAGACACTAGCAGTGCCTTTGTGATACACAGAGCCAGGTTCAGCAGCAGGATGGGGGACTATGGCAACCACCACAGTTGAGGGCAGGGATGTATCAGAGATCTGTGGTACGTTCTTAGAAGTAGAGATTGATGAAGAACAGGCTTCAGAGGAGCTATGACCTGCCGTGCCCTGTGATCCCAATGCCTGCCCTTGGCAGACTCCTAGCCCAGAAGTCCCAAAAGAATAAAGGTATCCAATTTGGGAGTAGCCAGCTTTTTCTGGAATGACTCATACCTGTGGCAGGATACAGGATGCTCAATGATTAACTCCTGCTTTGGGAGATATACCAGGGCTGCTTTCAGTCCTGACCCCAATATACACCTCAGCTCAGCTCTAGCAGTAGAAATAAAACTGACAGCATTTATACAGGCAGTCATGAGTATTTAAACTCCTGCACTGATCTGCTGTGTGCATTACTAGTAGCTGCCTCCTGCATTTGCACATCACCTCACCATCTCTGAGTGACAGCCGTACAACGTGCAAAGCAATCCCAGTGCCTGCACACCCAGCAGCAAATGGGAGGGATAGGATTCAGTTGCCTAAACATAGACACCTGGTGCCACCATAGGGACCCTGGGGTAGCCTACCTGGCCTTCCTGTAGGGCACAAACTCTGTATCATACCTGCCAACTTTTTATTAATATCTCAGATATCCTAGCCACCCATAAATGATGCTAGACACCTATGCTTAGGCAGAAGCCCCTCTTTTAACCTGTGCTTCTGTGAAACCCCTCATTTTACATACCCACTCGTGCTGGGTCTGCAGTAGGCTAAAGCTACGATTCCCCAAACTCAGCTCTTAAGGATTCAGAATGCAGTTAACTGGTCTGGAGTTAGCACTTACTTTGTAAAGGATGAGCAGGCTAATAAAAACTCCAACAGATTCGACCTGCCTTGCCTACTTGATAGAGGGGAGGTTGACCACTCCACTGCAGATTCGGTGTGTGTGGATGGGATGTTTTCATAAATGTGCTGTTTCTGTATCGGCGCTTTTGTCCTCACCCTCTCTCCCCAGCCAAACACTCAGCCATCGTCCATAAGAAATGCCACACACCTGCTGTGGACTCTCATGGGAATGGCTCCCCGTATGTTTTTTGTTGTGAGAAAGGGAAGCCACAACCAGTCTGAGAGATCAAGATACTGCCACCCATTCACATGCACCCTTATCCAGAGTCATCCTCTCAGGGTGCTTTCAAGCCAGTCTCTCGATTCAGCCAGCTCTGTAGGCTTTGAAGGAGCTTTCCACTTGCATTAACAGAAAATTTGACTGCAGTTCCATCTGGACCACCGGCTGCCACGTGGGGCAGCTGCTCTGACCGGCCAAGTGGGCAGGTGGTATCCACTCCAGGAGACACCTGCAAGGTAAATTGCTTGACTGGGCAGTCAAGCAAAATCATTAAGATTCCCCCCGTTAAAGTTTTCAATTGAGATCTCTGCTGATGCCTGTGGCGTTTTGGAGCTCCTGAGGCTTCAGAACGTTGACAGACATGATCTAGATAAGCCAGCGCTGAGAAAAAAAAAAGAGGTAAAATTGCTCCCCTGAGGATGTTCTGTTCTTAGACACAATAGGGAGAATATTTCTGTCTTTCCCTCCTGGCAATTAGTCCTCATTGAGGATCATATCAAGCCAGTCAAGTCCTAGACCTTCCAGAGGCCTCTTTCCCCTTCAGCGCCTGCAGAGGTGAGCCAGGCAGCCATTGCTTGGTGCAGGATTTGGTGCTCTGTTGATCTCTAGTTGGACCACTTGCATGGGTGCTTGGCACACGTGCCTTTTTGATGGATTGCCACAGACACAGTGTAAAGGGACCTGCTGACCACGTGAACTGTGAAGATGGGGCTGCAATGGGTGCTGCATAAATAGCAGTTATTTTGTCCCAGCTGAGGTCCACGCTCTTCCTTGCCCGCATTCCCACCACCCTTAGCCATGTCCAGCGGATTCTGGGAGAGAAAACTCTTCGCACCGAATCAGCAAATCTGCAAGGGGGAGCAATAAGACACATCAGGGTTTAGCTTTTAATGAGAGGCAAAAAAAGGAAAAAGAAGAAAAAAAAAGGAGCTCAACTTTTAACCAAGGGAAAGTGTTTTTCTTTTCTGCGCTAGAAATTCTGATTATTTTTTTTTGCTGCCCTGAGCACCACTAGGCAGGATCTGAGATGTGCTGGGACTGAGGATTGGGCGTGAGAGCCTCAGCTACTTCCCCAGCCTCTCCATGCAAAGTGGGGGAGCAGGAGGGGCAAAAAGGGGATCTCTGAGCCCATCTTCAGCTGGATAAAGGCTTTCACTGCAGAGATATTGTGGAAAATAGCTGTAAGCCTGCTCTCTGAGAAACACTGTGGGACTTCTCATGCAGAGTAGGAAGGGGAATGTAAAGGACGGGGAAAATCCTTGGGATTTGTCTGTATTGCAACACGGGCCACAGAGCAACCAAAGCTATCGCAGCTTATGCCCCTGCCTAATCATATTGAAACTCCCTTGAAACACAGACTTTGGCTTCTGAGAGCAGGGGATGGAAATTAGTTTCATTTTATGTGAAACACAGACTTTGGCTTCTGAGAGCAGGAGGTGGAAATTAGTTTCACTTTATGAACTAGATGATCTCTGAAGGTCCCTTCCAACCCCTGTGATTCATATTTTTCTTCATTAAAGCACTGAAAACTATCACTCAAGACTGGTGTTATGAAAACTACCTATTCTTATTGCTAATATTTATTTACAGGCACCTGAGAGAAGACTTTCTTAGGTTAGCATAGAACTTCTGCTGCCTTGTGGTATTTGGAACCATGTTCACCTGCATTTCAGAGCTTCCAGACAAACTGAACAGGCATCCTTAGATCTCATCCTCAGATCTCATCCTCCTGCTCTTTCTTTAAAAAAAAAACCAGAAAGGTTAGAATAACAATTTTACTGGTGAAAAAAAATTCCTTCAAAAACTTTTCCTAATTAATAAATAAAATATCCCAGGTAGGAGTCTGCAGTACAGATAGAACAAGCAGCTCTTCGGTCCCACTTAGCCCGAAGCTGTGCATGGTGTGGTTGAGGAACTTGGTTGCTGATGCCTATTGAGTGTCCACCTGAACCAGGGGACAGCCTTGTTGGAAAAGGGTCTCCTGTTGTACTGGATGTGGTATCAACACCTCTGACTGCTTCTTACCTCATCTTGTGTTTGTTTTGACAGAGGCAGCGGGCAGTGATTGTTCCCAAAGCCTGACAGCAACCACCGCTGCTGCGTGCCCTGCCTGTCCTGCCCACCCCTCTGCCCTGCTGCTGGAGGATGATGAACACCCCCAAAATTCGCCACAGCGATCAGCCCCCGCTGCCCGAAAAGCAGCAATGAGCAGGGACAGAGCTGGTGTGGTGCCCTGCCATCCTACAGCTCCTGCACCTCTGACTTCATGCACTGGCTCCCCTTCCCCGGCGGGCTCTGTGGTTTTAACCCGTTGTTAAGATTTATTAGATGCGATCTCCATTCTCAGCTGTGCCAGCGGAGAGGCTGAAGTACAGGATGAGTGCGGGTGCCCATGAAGGTCTGTCCTGGCGTATCGTGGGACCTGAGCTTCAGCATAGAAGCTGTGGGCTGCAGTGGTTCAAGGACAGGAGCTGTCAAAAAAGCACAAACATGGACCTGTTGCCCCGAGGCTGGTATGCTCTCAAAACAGCTTTAAAACAAAGCTAGCCTGAGAGAGGCTCTCCCTCTGAAGGACGCACTCAGGCACCTACATGGATCAGCCTTCACTGTTGGGGAGGGAGCTGTGCTGAAGCACCTCATTTTGGGTTTGGGTGTTCAGATGGGATCTGATGTCTACGCCTTGGCTGAGAATTTGAACTGCCTTCACTCAAGGTTGTTTTGGGAAATGCTGTCCCAGATCCCCAGGCCCAGAGCCCTCTGGATAAAGTTCCTCTCCTGCTCAGGGAGACCTGGCGGGTACTGTACCTCAAAGGCCATGCCTCCATGTCTTGCTGCAGAGACCAGAAAGCAGGGGCAAAGATGGGTGAACTTCAAAGAGTTGTTCCCAGCCTGAACCCATGCTGCAGCACCATCAGGTGCTTCAGTAGCCTCAAATCATGTTCACAGACTTGTTTTCTAGACCTCCAGAAAGGAAGACACCTTTCTGGGGTGGAGGTGGGTGAGAAGTGCTCAGAGAAGAGCAACCATCAGCCTGTGCTTATCTCCTGTGAGAATGTAGCGGAATGAGGAGAGACATCATCAGGAAACATATCTTGAGCACGTACACGAAAACTGGAATAGCAAATGTGACAAAGTTTTCCAGCTGAACTTTGAAAGGCATGTGTGGCCTCGTGAAGAGAGAGAGAAGGGAGTGCCATGTGGAAGGGTTTCCCTTTCCCTCAATAAAACAGGAAGACAGCCAGGTGGAAGGCAGCCCACAAAGGAGGAGGTGAAAAATGAGGACTGAAGGAAGGATGCACTGGATTAAAAGCACAAGTGTTGGTACCATGTGTGTGCGTGGGGAGTGGTGTCGCTGTGACTTTTCCAGGAAGATTCCTTGAATGACCCAGAAACCCCTCTGAGCACATCTCGAAAACCATCTTCACTCAGGCCATGAGAAACAAGGCTTTAGGCGTTCAAAACACATCGAGGACGTCACAGCTGGGGAAAAGTTATGAGAAATTGAATCATCCCCGCCCAAGACATTCTGGGCTGGCAGGAGACTTACTTATTTGTTGATTTATTTATACTAGAATTGTTCTCTGCCTACTCCTTGTTTAGTTTTGTTTTTTAGCTTAGATAATCTGACATGTTCATGAAGAAAGAATATTTCCCCCCTCGCCCTAGACTCTCGCAGAAGAACAGTAGAGCTTGGCATTCACTGATGAATGTCGTATCTTCTGCGCTCCCTGGGGTTTCTTTACAATGGTGTCTTAAACTGGCAAAGTAATCAGAAACACAGCAAGGAGCGGAGTTCAGCAAAGGGAATTGCAGTTTCTTTATGCAAGAGACGTGGGTGGCACTAAGTTCCTGGCTCCCTTGCAATCATAGCAAGGTAAAAACATGTGGAAAGGAGTGCTTCACTCAGCAGATAGTCCCCATGGGATCTCAGGAAGCCTCCATGAAGGGGGCTTTTCAAAGGATATCTGAGAGAGGGAGTCGGTCCACATTCCCTCACATGGGGAACAAGCAGCTGCTCATCCTGTGATGGGAGAGAGCTAAAGTACAGGAGGGGACAAAGGGAGTGAGATGCCTCCTATCAGAGAGGAAGGCAAGAGAAATCAAAGAATGGGCAGCAAAAAGAGAAAGGGAGGCCAGGTTTAGTGAGGCCAGGATCTTTCTGGATGATCCAGAAACTCCCAGCACTCCAAGGCCACCCTGCCAGCCACCTCAGCATGAAGAATGTGAAAATAGTGTCTTTTCTGGGCTCTAGAAAGGTCCTTACAGAGCAAGGTTCTGGCTTACTGGCTCTGGATAGCATGAAGGAAGCCCGGCGTCTACAAAATACTTTTCATTCTCCATTTGTCAGAGCTTTGTGTCCTGTCCTCTGCAGGAGGTAACAGGCCTTGCACTCCAGTGGGCTTTGCTGACCCATCCCTGCCGCTAGGCAGGTGGGTTCAATGTTAAGTCCCCTTTTTTGCGGTTTTGATGAATGAGCAAGAGCAAGGGAATGAAGGAGTTGATTTACGATCCTCCATTTTCTCCTCTGAGATGGGCAGGGTCTCTGCCCGTATGAACAGGAGGGGGATATGGTGATTAATTCCCTGGCCTTTAATCTCACACAGCTCCTACATGAGGTTTTGGCACTGAAGATGGGTGTTTGTAGCAAAGGTCCATCCCCGTTGCAAAGGATACCCCCACGCACATGTTTTTAGAGAGCTGCTCTCTCTGCATCCCTGTAAGAAAGCAAAATTATTGTTCCCCGTTTTCCCAGTGGGATCTGGATTCCAGTGATATGCGCTACACTGTCAGATCAGTGCCAGTTGGAGCCTGCTCTCCTGACCAGCCCGCTCCATCTCCATTCTTGCTCCAGCTTGGCCCCTGTAGAGGAGAGTTTCTGTGAATTCAGAAATCAAGAATCAGTCACTAAATTGTGCAGGACCAAGACCTTGCATGGACAGCATGGATGTACACAGCTGATATTCCCGGGCTAGCAGACATTTGGACCTGCTCACTACACTCTCTTCCCTGTAGAGCAGCCTAAGGACAGCAAGGACTTCTGCTGGCCAAGGTGTATCAGCTAAGGGTGGGTGAGTAATGGACACCACAAGTTAAGACAGCTGGTTGTTAGCAGAGCTGGGTGGGAGAGCCCAGGAGTGGAGCAGTGGTCAGAGTTACAGGCTTCAGGGAAAGTGAAGGCAGTGAATGCAATAAGGAGGGAGGCTGCAGATCGAGCCTGAAGTGTTTCAAGAATTAGAGAAGGCATCCCAGCGCCTGGTTTTTACTAGCATATTAGTATCTGATATTCATGTTCTCTGAGATTCATCCAATTCACCAACCAATGAATATTACTAACATTTCCTGTTGCAGAAAATACTATTGACAAAGGAAAAAGAATGTCAAGAAAGTAATTTTTAATGGTTATTTATTTATATTGAATGGTACTAGAGCGTTATTAAATATTATGTGAATAGTACAATATTGCACCATTGTCTTGTCTCGCAGCGTAAGTGCTTACTTCTTTTCCAGGAAAACACAGCGGACTCTGTAATTGAGAGTTTTCATTTCAAGGGTACTCCCTTCAGTCTTCTTCTGACCTAAATGCCACAAGAGAAATTCAAGCAAAAACATTTCAGGTCCCTGCATTGTGGAGATGAAGGAAAGAGGCAGAAGGAGACAGTAGAATATACCCTGAACTCCGTATGCTTATGGCGTCTCCAGCAGCGAGCTGTCATTTTGGTGATGTGGTGACAGTCCCTACTGAGATTATTGCCATCTAAAGGGCAATGACCACAACTCAGAAGTGAGTGGTGGTCAAAACATAGAGCAGGCAGTCAGTTCTCCATTACAAGGGAGAGGGGAAAGGTGCCCCAAACTGTCTGAGTGCCATGGCAAGCTGCATTGCGTGGTTGCTGCTGGCAGCGAGCAGGCTGCCCGATTTCTGTGGAGGTTCCCTGAGTGATGTTATGAGGTCTACTCTGCACAGTGTGTGGTATCCACTCCAGCTCTGTTGGGCCAGCCGCCCCCTGCACACTGTCCTCCCCTCCGGGAAGAGCCAGGACAAGCTCCCCTGGCAGCAGTATGGTAAGACACAAGGGATCTCCTGCAGGAATGTGGGTACACATCACATACGAGGTCCCAGCAAAAAATTGATCTGAGGTCATGTATCCATTTTGCCTGTCCTGCCCTGTGAAAAGTCTCTCCCAAGTGGTCCTGGAGGCCATGAAACCTCTCAGGAGACATTTTTCAACTTCCTTCCTCCTGGAGGAGGGCCAGTTGCAATGGGAAGCAGGGGAGGGCAGTAGTTTGTGGCCCCCTGCAATACAGCATCACTGCATCTCCTGGGGTGAGGGGGAGACACCCAAGAGCAGCACCAAGAGGGTAGGGAAGCACAGGCATTACAAGGCTTGGTCTTCCTAACCAACTGCATGCTGTTTGAGTCCCTGCTTCTGTCGGTCCCTGTAAGCTACAACCCACTGGGAAAAAATGCATAAAATCCATAAAAATGCACTGGGGCATTAGATGTCAGTCCAGTGGGATCAGGCAGGGAAACAACTCTAGTCTCTTGGTTCTTCCTTTTCTCTCCAGGATGGAGGAGAATGGGTGGGCATATTTGACAGGCCCCCACTGTTGGCTAATCCACAAACCTGGGAGAAGCTTTTAGATCCAGGTCCTGTTTCTAGTGCTTTCACTGATTTACTCTGTTGTTTGGACAAGGTACACCACCTCAGCCAGCTGTAACTTTGAGTTTTTTTAAAAACAACAAGGGACTCTCCCAGAAATATGGAAGCACTTTTAAGGCTCTTCTGAGGAAGATAAACTGCTAAAAATTTAGCGTACTGGAGTACAAGCCAAATACATACTTGTGTAATAAAAAATCCCATTCACAAAGGTGCTGGTTAAAGTGCAGTGTGCCATGTGCAAGCAAACAGCGTGCGAAAGGCTGAAGAAAGAACTGCTGTGGCCAAAGGTACCTGAGACATCCAGCCTAGAAAACACCAGCACCCAGCAAAAAAAGAGGGGCAGCTCTTCTTGGCTGCGGTGCATGAAAGTTTCTACAATGCCCATGCAAGGATTAATGCCACCTTCCTTTTTCCTCAACAGAAACCCTGGGGATTGAGAGGGCGGTGGGTAAGAGACATTGACCAGCACTGCCTGAGCCCCCTGTTTGTTACCAGTTATTGTTCCTCCCCTCCTTGCATTTTCAAGGCCGAGCTTCCCAGCCGCTCTGCTCCACTTTCAACTGGGATCTGCTGCCTGCCCCAAAAGACGAGGTGGGGAGGAGAAGGGGAAAGAGCAAGCAAGAATGAATCTTATTAAATGGTGCGAGGTGCTTCTCTCAGTCTCTCATCACGTTCAGGGCTGGCTGGAGGTGAAATTACACTTGGAGGGAGGGGAAGCCCTCCTCCCCTGGGACAATCCAGAGGCTCTTGCACAAACTTAATTTCAAGCTCTGTTGAAGATGGTGTTTGTCTTTTTTTTTTTTTTTTTTTGTATGCATTCAATTTAATTTCTCAGGCAGACGTGTGAAAATGAGAAAGGCAGACCTTTGACTGAAGACAGCCTGGTGCCTGCTTCTTACAGTTTTTTTTTTTTTTTTTTTTTTTTTTTTTTTTTTTTTTTTTTTTTTTTTTTTTTTTTTTTTTTTTTTTTTTTTTTTTTTTTTTTTTTTTTTTGTATGCATTCAATTTAATTTCTCAGGCAGACGTGTGAAAATGAGAAAGGCAGACCTTTGACTGAAGACAGCCTGGTGCCTGCTTCTTACAGATCCAGTCTCACATTGTTTTCCTCCATCACTGCCCTCAATAAATCTGTGCACAGGGCTTGCTAAAATGCCCACCATCTCCCTTCCACGTTTCAGTGGAGGCAGTTAAATTATTTTTTTTTTGCATTTAAGCAATCTGATTCATTTTTAATTCAAAACACACCCCAGCTTTCCACCACTCTGTTTAAAACAGGAGCGCTGTGACCCTGAAAAGGCTCAGACCTGCTGGCACCACAAAGTTCTCATACGTACTCTGCTCTCCAGTCCATACTTCCTTGTTCTCTTGTGACGAAAAAGGCTTGTGGTGGTTTCTGATCCACTTGTTCCAGGGATGATGGCTGAAGGGGAAGGAGAGGAACCATATTTGGTTTTGGAAGGCTCCCAAGGGAGGATTTCCTGGAGATGCAGCTCAGAAATATGTTCTGTTTGGCTCCTCTACAGACAGTTGATCTGCCTAGTTGTATGTTTGCTTTTCCAGTCTTGAGAGCATATCTACGCACAGGTGAAAATACAGCTTGGGGTAGGCTGTTGCCTTTCCAGCTGACCTGCTGCTTGTGCCCAGGAACAGACACAAGGTGATGATAAGCTGCTGGAGCGTGTCCAGAGAAGAGCCACCAAGCTGGTGAGGGGTCTAGAGAGCAAGTCCTATGAGGAGAGGCTGAGGCAACTGGGCATGTTTAGTTTGGAAAAGAGGAGGCTGAGGGGAGATCTCGTTGCCCTCTACAACTACCTGAAAGGGGAATAATGACCAGAGGAAATGGTCTGAAGTTGCAGCAGGGGAGGTTTAGATTAGATATTGGGAAGAATTACTTTACTGAGAGAGTGGTCAGGCACTGGAACAGTCTGCCCAGGGGGGTGGTGGAGTCACCATCCCTGGAGGTATTTAAGAAACGTGTAGATGTGGCTCTTCAGGCCATGCTCTAGTGCCTGAGATTATTGGGGTGTGGTGGGGTGTTGTATGTGCTGCTGTTGGTATGGGGCTTGGTTGGTGGGTGTTGTGTGGTGTGGTGTTTGTTGTGGGTGTGGTGGTTTGTTTGGTTGGGGTTTTTTTGTTTGGTTGTTTTTTTTTTTCAGTGTGGTTGGACTCGATGATTTCAGAGGTCCCTTCCAACCCACGAGATTCTGTGATTTTTTACACTAAGCCCTGACTGTGAGGAAGTCAGCAGAGCCGCCAGCGCAGGACAGTTCCAGCAGGTCCAGCTTCTCCCCCACCTTCGAGAGAGATGGAGACAGACCTGCCTTGCCCAAGTTGTTCCTACATTGCGATTTCCTCCTGTGACCCAAGGGAGGATCGCAAGCAAACCATGAAGCAATACCAGGCTCTAAAACAATTGCTGTCTGCAATCCCAGAAAACCTTGTTTCCCCTGTTCCATGGTTGACACAGAGATTAGTTCTTTCCTGTCCGTGGCATTGTACTCGCCGCGACTTTCAGCAGAACAGTGAGCATTGCTTTGTTTTATGGGGGGGAAGACAAGCAGGGTGGGTTTGCCATGGTCATGGAGGGAATGGCACAGGAAGAACGTAGAGACTCACAGTGGTCTGCAAGAAAAGCAACCTTTGCAGCACCAGCACTGGGGGGATTTATATAGAGCAAGACTTTGCCAAGCCAAAATAAATGTTAAGTATCTTATTTTATTATTATTTTTAAAAACAATTAATGTAAATGTGAAATGATGGCAATTTACCTCCAGGCCTTAAGCAAGCCACTCGAATAATGGGTCGTTCTGAGGTCAAGTTCCCTATAGACGTGTCCCCTAGACGTGTCCAGCACCGAAGCCAGAGTACTCCCAGCTCTCCGTATAAACCCTCTCCCCTCTCTCCCCCCAACTTTTCCCCATGCCACCCCATTTGGAGGGCAAACAGCAGCTGCACCTCGTTTGGAGCCAGGGGTGCGGGTGGACAGCCCAGCCCAGCTGAGCAGGACGGGAGGCTGAAGTAAGGGCTCCTGCCCCCTCTCACTCGCACAAATGTCCTTTTCCTCAGCGCAGAACCAGCTGCCGACCTTTCTCTGAAGCCCGGTAGGAATTTAATGGCTGTAAGACTTTGTTTCCTTTGCCAAATTGAAGTGAAAAAGGGCAATAATTGAGAGCAAGTTATGAGGACAGGCAAGCGGACTAACAGCACAAATCTCGTAAGCCCCAGCTCGTTAAGAAATCAGAAGGGACGGGTGTATGAGCCAAAATCTTTATGCGCGGTGAGGCTGTGAGGAGCGAGCGGTCCCTCGCTGCGGAGGCTGGGCTGCCATGGTCCCTTCAGGCCTAGGCAGAGGGTAGTTTACCCCTCTCTGCCGTGTTCAACAACCAAATCAGAGCCGGGACAGCGGCCGCGGGCTGACAGAAGGCCAGACCCGCCATACAGCACAGCAGCTGCCCCCGGCCCTGCCCCTCTCCCCGCAGAACCGTTACTCGGAGGCCATCCCGACGGCGAGGCCGCCACAGAGCCGGCCGCTGAGGGAGCCCGGGGACTACATCTCCCAGCAAGCCGCGCGGCGGCGCAGCGGCCCTGCCCCGCTTTGCATGCTGGGAGATGTAGTCTCGCCGGAAAGTAGCGGGGGAGGTTGCGTGACGGTTGGGCGGTAACGGCCGCGCCGTGAGGGCGCTCCCTCCCTCCTTCCCTCAGCCCGGGCCGGGGCGGAGCGGAGCGGGGGAAGGCCGGGCTGCCGGGAGTCTCTGTGGGAGGCTGCTACTCGCCCCGCTGGCTGTGTGCCGCTCGGTCCTCTCCGGGAGTCGCCCGGCCTCGCCGTTTCCTCCGCCTCAGGCAGCCTGCCCCGCGGGGGCCGGCGTAAGGGTGGGTGAGGGCGGCGGTACCCCCCGGCCCCGCGGTGCTGGCTGCCGGGTTGGGGTGCTCTGGAGTTTCTGCCCTCGGTGGGCTTGAAACGGCTTTTTCTCTCCTTCAGGCCGGCAGGTAGCGGGAAGGGGCGGTGTGTGGCTCCAGGAGTCCCGGCGAAGCCGTGCTGGAAGAGCGGGCTGCCGCCTCAGAAAGTTTGAGGAGGAAGAGGAGGAGGAGGAAGAGGAGGAGGTGGGAGTGGAGGAGAAGGTGGTCTTGCCTGCACAGCGATGTAGCCCTGAAGGTGGCACCTGAAGGTGGCACGGCAGCTCTTGGAAAGCGGTTAAAACTCCTCACCCGTCAGATTCCGGAGCATGGGCTAAAAGCTATGTCCCTCTCTCGGGTCGAAAATCCTTGTTTTCTGCTGTTCCTCTTTGTCTTCCAAGCGATACTTATCTTGATACTCTACCGAGGTGGACCTTCAAATGTGTTCCGTGAGTTTTTGGACTCGCGTCCCGTTCTGGATTACTCAAAAACTCATGATGTCTATACAAACCTCAGCTTGTTTACCCCAGCTGCTAATGAAGAGGCAATGCCGTACTGCTCAGTGCAGTCACCCATATTTGGTAGGTATAAACCAGTAGCGTTTGAAATAACTGCTCTGGTACGTTATAACGCTGAGCGCTTTGTAAATGTAAGTTGTATATTTTTCAAACTTTTCCCCTTTAAAAGTGGTATAGTGACGTAGTACTTGAACTGAAAAAACTTTCATGTGTCATTTAACTGACTTGTATCCCTTATACAAGGAAAAGTATTCTTCTGATCTAAAAGCTTCCAATATTAAGGATTTAGCTACATAGAGATTGCGGAGCAAGAGTAAAAACAGCACAGGATGTTAATGCCAAGTTAGTAAAACTTTTTTGTTGTTGTTCTTGGCAGTCCTGTGTAAAATGTGCCAATGGTTGTGTTTTGGTAACTGCATGCTTTTGACCTGCGTTTCCAACTTAATTGTTTTATTTGAAAAAGCACCGCAGAAATGTGCCAGCACCCTGCTTGTCTCCACTACTGACAAGAACGCTCTGTTCTGGAAAGTCAAATGAGTAAACTTTGATCTCAAAAAAAACCAACCAAAACCAAAAAACCAAAAAGAAACCAAACTAAACTAGGTGCAGCTCTGTGCACCTTGGCTGCAAACCATCAGATAAGCAAGAGCGGTGATGTATATGGAGGAGGCAGAGTAAAATTACAGTAAAGTAATCAGTGCTCTTAGAGCAGTGAAATCTTTTTAAGGCCTCTTCTTTTGCCCATCCCCAAGAGTGCTTAGACAGAAGGGCTTGGCCTGCATGTGGTACTTGAAAGCTAAAGTGAAAACAGAATGTTCGTTATAGATGGAAACAAACAGTAAAGTTGACTGGGACAAAAACCAAAACAAAACAAATAAAAACCAACACAAGAACATCTCTTGTGGGTGTTTCCCCCCGAAATGCACATTACTCTGCAAGGTACTTGGCCTTTGTTGCGTTTGTCACAGGTCCATATGAACGAATTATAAATGTCTTGATTGATTGTTACCATCTTCTCTCATTGGACTGATCTCTCTTGGAAGCGTTATGTAAGAAAGAACAATGCCTTTTAATATTAATTTCATAAACTCCATTAAATGAGATTTCAGATCAATTCTTGAGGACTCCAGTTCGAAGCTGGTAATAAGTCACTGTGTCCACTCCAAAGTGTGTTAAAGTAACTGGAAGGATGCCAAATGGCTTAAATGGTTTCTGCATCAGGGCTTTTATGAAGTGCTGCACTCTTTCCTCTTCTACTTATAGTAGATCATTTCAATAACTGTTTGAATGGAAGATGAGCTTGCAGCTCATCTGTCTTTTTCCTACCTCGTGAATCTACAGCATCTTGGTTTTTCCAGGGGTGTGGAGTACAACTTAAAGTAAAATTACTAAACATCTCTGCCTTGCAGGATATAGGCACTTTCTGACTAAGGCTACATTTTTAACGCCTAGTGGTGTCCATTGAACCTTCTGTGACTGACAGCTTGAAAAGCGTTGTACTAGATATTCAATGTCTTCATTAATATTGTGAATAAATTACTCAAATTCCCTTAAAGGTTGAAGTTTCTACACAAATAATGAGTTGCATCTTTCCTCCTTTGTTTTTGGAAAAAGCAAAGTGTTTATGTGCTACAGTTGTGCTTAGAGAGACTGAACAGTAAGTAGAATTTAAATTCAAAACCCGAGATGCGTTGTTTGTTTCAGTTCCTCTCTTCCTCTTCCCAGGAAGAAACTTGATGCTAGAAGACTCAGGTTTTGGTTGTGTTTGTTTTTGTTTTTTTTTAAAGAGGTACCTTGTTTCATGCGTGGTATGTGCTGAACGAGTTGTTTTGGCACTTGAGGACTTCAATAGTTGAAAGTTATGCCTGTAACGGCTGTTTTAAATATGTTTGTTCTACGGAAGAATTTTTTCGTTCTTGTAGTAGTTACTCCCTTTCAGTCCCATCTGTCATAACCTTTTCATGAGTGTGACCATCTGCCATAGTAGTGAGTAGCTCCTGCTGTATTTCCTAATGGATGCTCTCCTACTAGAGTTTCTTTTCTTAGAGTTAAAAAGAAGTAAAAAGGTGGTAATGCTGAGATTTGTTTTCAGCTGCAGTTGAGGCAGCCTAGTTTTTTGCTATTAGAAACTGGTGTTTAAGTTAAGGCCTATTGGTCTGCTTTTTTTTCTTTCTTTCGTTCAAAAGGGTGATAGAATTATACAAGTATGAATCTATGGATGTAGTGAGCGGTGCTGCACTTTTTCAGTGAGATATTAATCTATGCTACTGTTCCTGTTTGTTTAGCTTGTGTAAGTTCTGCTTATTCTGGTTGAGCTAACTCTAAACGTGTGGCAAGGAGTTCAAAAGTCATGTAGTTTCTTTCTCAAGAAGGGATAGATCTGGTTAGAATCAACAGATCCCCCTGATAGTCACATGTGTTCCTAGAACGTAAAGCAAGCAGGGAGTATGCTGTCACTGGCACCAGCTAGCAATACAGACAGGGAGCTGAGGGTTTTAACTCTACACACCATAGTTTCACATTAATTAAACACCCTCTGTGTGATGGTACTGGCACAGAAAGAGCTTGGGAACCAGGCTATGGAGAAATTTCTTGGACGCTTCAGGGTGCTGATTCTGTATCTTGTCTGAATTGGGATCCTGTGCTTTCTAGCATGTCTAAAATAGGTTTCTCCTCCTGTCCCAAACTTTAGCAGTTTTGTTTGGTCCAGTCTGTGACTGCTCTGTTCACATCTGGGATTTAATTGGATTATAGTGCGTTAGCCCTTTGTTAATTGGGCAGGAAGGAGACCTGAGAGCCAGAATTTAGCTTGTAGCCAAGGAGTGTAGGGCAGCCAGACGTTTTGGGGATATAATTCCTGGACTAACTTCTTTTTTTCTGTGTTTCCTTTGCATATACTAGATTGAGGTATGGAGCCAGGCCTAGGAGAACATGATGTCTTGAAAAACTTGAAAAATGCAGATATTACCCATGAATTGTGTGCTTGGTTATGGAAGGAGACAACGGGAGTGAAACTATTGCACATTCTCTTACTTAGACCCTTATGTTCAAATTTAGGTTTGATTTTTTTTTTTTAATTTAAGGATTATTGCTACAGAATCTTACTCTGCAATACAAAGAGCCCTGATTCTATTAGAGGAAACAAACCCCTGCCTTTGTGAGAGAACAAAAGGCATTAATTCTCTTTTTTATATTTTCCTTGGAGCGATGATCTGTAGTTGAAATCCTTTTCTTTAGCAAGCTCCAGATGTTACCAAATCAGTGGTTAATGGTGCTTTAGTTAAAAGATCTGATAATCAGAGAGTTCCTAAATCTAAAAAGCAACATAAATTACAGATTCAAAATAAAGTTGGATTGAAATGTGATGGTCTTTAAGGCAGAAGAGGAAACTGTCTGTGTAGAAGTAGGTAATAACATAATAAAATCTTAACAGTGAACATGACCTAGATTTGTGGACCCAAGGCATGATTCTCTGAGGAACTGCTTTTCAGTTTCAGGCATGAAGGTATGGCAATGTGCTCCAGGTTCCTACTGAGGGTAACGCAGCCAAAATCAAACTCCCCCTGCATTTTAGATACTTGGGGAAGGATTGAAAGAGTCCTTAAGAGTCAGCTACTGCACGATCTTGCTGACAAGCAAAATTCAAGTTTTCCTTTCAAAAAACAAACAAAACCCAACCATCTAACAAAAACCACGAAGTGGGACTCACAGTGGCTAGACCTTTTTTGACAGTGTGAGAAATGGGATTAGTGGCTGTTCAGAATGCCATTATGTGTGTTCCTTGAGGAGGAAAAGGAGACACTCGTTGAGTATCAGAAAAGCGAGGTATACCAACTTCCAAACACGAGCAAAGTGTTTCCCAGTTCTCAGCCAAGAGCTTGAATCTTATGCCAAATTTAGTCCCTAAGCCTTGTTAATGCAAAAAAAAAAAAAAAACACAAAACAAAAAAAACCAACCCAAAACCCAAACCAGTAGAGGGATATTGCTTCCTTTTCTGTCAGTTAAACAAGATGTGGGTGAATGCAAGCTCAATTTTTTTCTGTTAGAATTGTAGCAGAGACTTGAATGTAGGATGGGCTGGAAGAAGAACCTTCTGGACTCACCTACTTAAAATACTTACCTAGATTTAAGACACACCTGTACCTTTCCCTGCTCAAATGGAAGGTACTAAACACCAGGCCTAAATATTTGCTCTTTCTCTCTCAGGCTTCGTTATCAGAAGTCTTTTGAGAGAATTATTTATTTCAGTGGTTTAAGAGAGAGTTTGACTTACAAGATTCTGAAAACTTGCTTCAGAACAGCCTTAGGATTAACTGTGAGCTTGGAGGGAAAAGAAAATGTTATTTATAAATTATTTAGCAAAAAAACCCAAACAAACCAGCAGCAACACAAACAACAACAAATAAAAACCAAACCAAAACCCTAACAACTTGCCTCACGGGCTTCTGGTGCAAAAAAATTTTTTTTCTTTGAGTAGAGTGGCCTGCAGAGAATTGTTTGTCCTACTTCAAACTGTCATTTGAAATCGTTACCTTTTAATTGTGATTTAAGTGAAGGTTTCTTCCTAGTTTGTTGAAGTAATAGATTTTAATCTTGTTCTGCGTGTGTACTTTATTTACTTAGAAATTGACAGTGGTTGGAAACCACTAAGTTACACTGATCTGTGTATAAATATGACTCTTCTGCTAGTTCTGGAACCTTTTCTTGCTACCCAGAAGGACAGGCATTTAAATAACTGTAGAATTTGTTTGCTCATATTATTACAATACGAGGGTTGTGTCAAAATGGCAATTGACAGTTAATATTGATTCTTTCTTCTTACTTGTCAAGCATTTTCCATCTGAAGAATGGAAGAATTCAGATTAAAATGCAATATTTTTTTATTAGATAAAAGCTGTTAAATATATCCAGTATGTTTTGCATTTAAAATAGAAGTGCTGAGTACAAGAACTATCACATGTAGTTTCTTTTCCTGCCTTGTGCCTGTTCCTGAAAATGTAGCATCTCTCTTCTTCCTTCTCAGTACTGTCAAATTTTGAAGTACTGCCTACTTATCACTCTATATAATTAAATAATATAGCAAATACAGCCCTTGTGGCATGTGATTGTAACATCAAATTGAATTCAAAACCTTTTTTAAGATAAAGCTAACATTTCCTGTGTTTGTATTCATCCAGGCTTTAAACTATTTCTCCCCCAACCTGCTGAATATCCTTTCGGACATCGTTGTCCTTGAATCTCCTCTGAAAGAGGCTTAGAAATTTTTTCCATGTAGGTAGGGAAAGCAGATATTTCTGCTCACCTTGATTCATTTTTCAATGCTATTCTTACAGTGAATAAATACTTTTATTCAAGGATCCCATCTAAGCAACACAAGGCAGAAGGTGTAGTAGGGAGCCCATACCAGGAAAAAGCAAGCAGTGCAGGAGCCTGGTGTAGAGCTGGTGTCTCAAGTAGCAAACCTGTACCTAATCTGATAGGCCCGAATAACGTTGAAAAACATCACTGATTTATTTTTTATTTTTTTTTTCTCTCTTTCCTTTCAGTTGGTCCATTAACCATCACCTTCGAGTTGCTCCCTAGTGAAAGAATGATCATCAAAAAAAATCCTTTTGTTCAGTCTGGTGGCCGCTACAGGCCTCCTCACTGCTTGGCCCGCTACAAGTCAGCCATCCTTGTAGCATACAGGAACCAGGAGAAGTACCTTCACCATCTTCTCTACTATATTCATCCTTTCTTGCAGCGCCAGCAGCTCAGCTACAGTATCTACTTGATTCAGCAGGTAAATCTAAACCAGATGTAGCTGAGCTTCCCAGTTAAGGGTTAGGTTCTGAACAAGAAATGTGAATCTTCTCATATGGAAGTACTGTTTTATGCATGGGTTTAGAGCTGGTCAGTTATATGCTGTCCCACGTCTATGGCTGCTAATGATTGAAATATCATACCACTTGTTAAGATCATTATTCTACTGTTGATCTGTTATGCATCTTTTTATTATTCTAGAGGGATGAAGTAGTCATTAAGTGCTAACGTGTCTTTTCAGCTGTTCAAGAATGTGGTTTGTCTGTAGCTGAGCAAAACTGTTGAGACTAAATGCTAAAGTGCAATTGGATATTTCCAGCCTGTATCAAAGAAAAACATTTGGCTTGACCCTGCTGTGGGGCAACCTGTAGAAGTCAAACAGCCGTTTGTAACTGACCTTGGTCAGTTGCAAAAAATCAGGTATTGCAAAAGATCAGTGGTGAGAGAGGAAGTTTTGGATTCATTAACTAAAACTGATAGTTGATTCTGATTAACTGATGGTTAATTCAACTGATAGTTGAAACGGGAGAGCAGGTCTGTGGAAAAAAAACATGGGAGTCCTGGGGGGAAACAGGATGAGCATGAGCCAGCAATGCGCCCTAGTGGCCAAGAAGGCCAATGGCATCCTGGGGTACATCAAGAAGAGTGTGGCCAGCACATCAAAGGAGGTCATCCTGTCCCTCTACTCTGCCCTGGTGAGGCCATATCTGGAGTACTGTGGCCACCACACCACCTAAACACACAACAACAACCAAACCAAAAATCCATCACCCACCCACTCAGCAGCCCACGACAAACCAATAATCTTAGGCACTAGAGCATGCCCTGAAGAACCATGTCTACACGTTTCTTAAATACCTCCAGGGATGGTGACTCCACCACCTCCCTGGGCAGTCCATTCCAATGCCTGACAACCCTTTCAGTAAAGAAATGTTTCCTAATATCCAACCTGAACTTCCCCTGGTGCAACTTGAACCCATTACCCCTTGTCCTATCATCTGTAACTTGGAAGAAGAGACTGACCCCTGCCTCTCTACACCCTCCTTTCAGGTACTTGTACAGAGCGGTAAGGTCTCCCCTCAGTCTCTTCTTCCCCAGACTGAACAACCCCAGCTCCCTCAGCCTCTCCTCGTAAGACTTGTGCTCCAGACCCCTCACCAGCTTCGTTGCCCTTCTCTGGACCCGCTCCAGCACCTCAACATCTCTCTTACGAGGGAAGGGTGAGGGACTTGGGTCTTTTTAGTCTGTAGAAGACTGAGGGGGCATCTGATCATTGCCTATAGATACTTAAAGGGTGGGTGTCAAGAGGATGGGGCCAGTCTTTTTTCAGTGGTGCCCAGTGACAGGACAAAAGGTAACAGGCACAAACTTAAACATGGGAAGTTCCATCTAAACATGAGGAGGAGCTTCTTTACTTTGAGGGTGGCAGAGCACTGGAACGGGCTGCCCGGAGAGATGGTGGAGTCTCCTTCTCTGGAGACATTCAAAACTGCCTGGACATGTTCCTGTGCAACCTGCTCTGGGTGGACCTGCTTTGGCAGGGGGGTTGGACTAGATGATCTGCAGAGGTCCCTTCCAACCCCGTATTATTCTGTGATTATGTAATTCTGACTGAGATGCAGAAGAAACTTTTTTGTTTGACCAAGATTTATCTTCTCATTTCTAAGCTTTAATAAGCAGTAGTTGGGCAGAAATGTTGATGTGCAGATGGCCACCTGAGGATGGACTTACTGGTCTCTTAAAAAGTCAACCTTCTTCAGGTGCCCACGGTATGTACCTGTGACACAGCACAGCTTACAATTGCCGAGAATATTGTGAAGAGAATGGGTGACATTTTCAGAGTCTGGGGAATGAAATTTGCAGCCAGTATTGATTCATTCCAGTGTCACTCAACTGAATGAGGCTTTTTTAGTAATACAAATTTTAATTGAGTTATCCTTTTTGTTGTTTTGATGAAGAAATGTAGGTTTTCTTTTCCAGGTGGGGAACGGCACGTTTAACCGGGCAAAGCTGCTTAATGTTGGTGTCCGGGAAGCCCTGAGGGATGAAGACTGGGACTGCCTTCTCCTGCACGATGTGGACCTAGTCCCTGAAAATGATAATAATCTCTACGTGTGCGATGAATACTATCCCAAGCACATGGCTAGTGCCATGGATAAGTTTCAGTACACGTAAGTGCCTTTGATGTATGTAATGGGGACAGTGAAAGATACAGCCTTTAAGATGTTTTCTGTTTATTAGTGTTGCAGTAGTGACTTCCCCAGAAAAGGGTTTTTTTTGACCCAAGCTTGCAATTTTGAACAGTTCCTTGCCTGCGGTGGTTCCCTATTCCACTGTTAGCTCAGCTTAACAAATGGCTGGCAGGGTTCTATATGCCTTTCCTTCCAGAATAAAAGTATAGGGTGGGAATTGCTGGATCATGTTGAAGATGTGGGACAGGATGAAGGTATTTTGAACTAACCCAAGATGTGAATTTCAAAACTTAACTTTGGTCTACTGGGGGAGGAGAGGAGGAATGGAACATAATAGGAATTACACTGGTTTTGCTATTTTGGGTTTTGGCATTGTCATGACAGTATCTGTAAGGTATGTGATTAATACATGTGTGACTTGCATCACATTAGTTTGGGGAGGACTGGTATTATCCTTCAATATCGATGCTTTTTTTTTTTCTTTTCTTTTTTAGTCTGCCATATAAGTCCTTTTTTGGGGGTGTATCTGCTCTGACTCCAGAACATTACATGAAGATGAATGGGTTTCCAAATACATACTGGGGCAGCGGTGGTGAAAATGACGACATTGCTACAAGGTACTAATGCACAGGACAAGCTTAAAATAGAAGCAGGCTGGCTAACAAAACATGTAGCATTACCCTACAAAAGGAACTGAGATGTTGTTCCTTAACGCGCTTGCAGTATCATTATAATCCAAAATGCTCTCCTCACTGGGAATGGTTAATGTCAGAGAAGGCTCAGCATCTATAAATCTAATCATTGTGTGCTGGGAGGACAAAACTTTCCTCAGACTCTCTCTGGAGGGCAGAATGTTACTTCACATCTTTGTGCCTTCAGTTGCTCTGGAGTGTGTCCAAGGGGTTATAACCACCAGTGCTTGACAAGTGACTCCATTGACATGACCCACCCCAGGGGAAGGAAGGAATACGCAAGCTTGACGAAGAGGAAAAACCAAGAAGATACTTATTAATTCTCAGACAGTTGGGAATTTAAGTTACGTTGGGCATCTAGATTGCTCTGAGTATTATCTAATCACCAATGCTTGGAATTAAGGTACACAAGGAATTCTGACTTAATGTCTTCAGTGCTGGGTGATGGAGAAGCCTCTGTAGGACTGTGAGTCAGTGACAGCAAGAGCTGATGTTTTTTCTTGTACTTGAGTTGCCATGGCAGCAGCATGCTATAGAAGTGAATACAATGGCTTTAGTTCCAGGTACTCTGCCTAATGCGAATTCTTCAAGTACAAAATCGTAGCTGTAGCTTTCTTTTTTGGTTTTATTCAGCTTTGTAGCTGCACTGTGCACCTTCATCATCCTGCACTGAAGCAAGCTGATGGGGAGTTTATAAAACTAAACTGACAATCAAGGCCTTGTGTGTTTTTTTGGTCTTGCACAGCGTGACAAGTTACACGGTTTGGGTGGAATGTTCTGTTCGAGGAGACTGTAGGAGTTTTTTACAAAGCAGTATTCTTCTGGGAATTGAAAGTCAGATTTTCTAACATAGAATTCTTCATTTTCCTTTCAGGGAAAGCGAACTGAAAGGGTGGAGGATTGTTTAGAGAGTCAGCGTTTAAAGGAACGGAGTGCCAGGAAAATAGATCTTTAAATCAAACACTACAATGCTGGGTCTATTCAGCTGGTCTTAGTACAGCTTAAGCATCTAATGTGGTTTTCAGTCCCAGTGTGGGAGAGTCAGGCCAGTTACGCATAAGAGTGCACTTCCTTACAGAAATCTCTTAAGGCAAGTAGGTTATGTAGATCCCAAAATAGCCCTTTCTTAAAGGGAAGTAAATCATGTGTTACTTCTCTGAAAACTTATACTAATGACTAGCAATGCTCTGGCCTGTGGGAACATGGAGGCCGTGGACAGTGCCTGTTAACGATTTAGTCACACACTGAAATCTCAACCTGCAGAAGTTAAGAATGAGGTGGCTCCATGGCCCACTTGATGCACCTACTGGGACTTCGATTTTAGGAGGTGCTCAAGCACTTCTTAACCATTTAGTAACAGAATTAATTAGTAGTTGAAATTGGACACAAAATGTAAAAAAAAAAAGAGGAGTTCCACATAAAAGGGATACTGCTTATTAGAGCAGAGTTAGCAAAAAACCATGCTGGCTGCTACTCAGAGTTGGCAGACTGCAGTAGTTCATAATATTAGTTCTAGCAAACACCAGGATCTACCTTTTATTAGAAGAAGAAACAACTCTAATTGGAACTGGTTTTATGTTAACATTATCAACTACAGGGAAGTCTGTTGGGTTCATATTAACAGTAAATGGATGTATTAACTGCTTGATATTATGGTTTTAGTTTAATCTTGTAATGCAAAAAGTGTAACAACAAATCAAATTTAGTGTTCTTGCTTTTTCTTGTCTTTTTGATTGAATGTGCAATAAGCTTATGTTCAGAAAACAAGAGACCTTGTCTAAAACTCGGCCTGAAATAATAGTATGTCACACTGTCCAACACTGTAATCATTTGATGGCTCTAGACTAACAAATATTTTTAGTTTTGCAGCCTTTGTCACCTTTGTAGCATTCCACCTTCAGTGGAGCTTGCTGCTGTACCAAATCTCAATGGGAGGCAATCAGATGTTTTAAACATGCCAGTTAGATAATCTCAGTTGAGCTAACATTCATTCTGACATTCACAGGAATTTTCTTTGCATAAGAGCTGCCCTGTGATAAGGGAGGTTTGCCAGCCCTATTAACAGGCTTTTTTTTTTTTTATTGGTAAACTAACTTAGATGCTATTAGCAATGCGTTGCTTGAAAGTCACCCAAAATGCTGGTTTTAGGAGCTCTGTTCTGGAATTCTGAGCCTTTGGTTCCCTTTTTTTTCTTATCTATCTGGCCTGCAGCTGACATTTTATTTATCACTAATCTTTTATGAAGCCAGTCCTCTAATCAGGCCGTCTGAATGAATGGCACTTCTCAAAGAACAGAGAGGCTTAATCTGATCTGAAACTCAGGACTGGCTTCCTTTCAGACAATGCAACACTGCAAGTTTGGGTGTCGGGGGTTTTTAAGTTTAGGTGATGGACCACTAGACAGTGAAAGTGCTGTTCTTAACGAGGAAGTGAAAACAACGCTCAATTGTCAGATTAATGGGAAAGGCCCTTGAAGGCTCTGTGTGCTGCTGTTGTGCCTGCTATAACCCCCCTGTACCTTGTCAAAGTGCACTGCAGCTGGGAGCTTTTCCAGCCCAAGCCTGGTTAGAACCTGCTGGAGAAGATCATGTCATGTGGCACCGTGGTGTTAAACTCACTCCCCTTCAGCTTCTGCATTTTGCTTTGATTGTGTGAACACTGAAAATTATTTCTGACTGAACTTCCCTATAACTAACTCTAGAAGTGGCCGCTTTATGCCTAAGCAAAAATTGTGTTTGTTGTTTTAAAGGATTCAGTTAGCAGGAATGAAAATAGTCCGGACGTCACCTCATCTTGGACGCTACAAAGTGATGAACTACAATGAAGAGACAGAGACACAGGAGCCCTGGAGAAGGTAACTGTTCTGGGGGGGGCAGTTAGGAGGCTACTCTTTGGCTTGTGGCAGGTTGACTGTTACCCTCATCTTCCTCATGACAGGCAGTAAGTACACCTAATGCCACTGCTTGTTTTTCTGCTTTAATGTGGCTATTTAAAGAAGGCTCTCAGTCAGTTTTAACTGAAGCATTTTGCTCCTGTTGCTGCATTTGAAGGGTTTCTCCTGGTTTCCTACTTTTTTCCTATTGTTAAGGACACGTCCTAGAGAGGAAGCTAACACATAGCGGACTTCTCAGCATCAAAATCGTTCGGGGAATTAAACTTTAAAAAAATAGTGCATATCTTGTAAATAGGGAGAGTTCAGTTTGAAGAGGTATTTTGAAACAACTTCCCTGTAATAAAAACTTGCTTTTCAGTCTGTGTGGATTTACAGTGTGCCATTAAAATAGTGGAAAGCAGCATTCTAGTTTGAAGAGATGAGGAAGGTGCTATGAGAAAGGGACCTTAGCAAAGACCTAGATTTATATAAAGGAGCTGGAGGAGGGTGTTGGGTCAAGTGTGGTGGAGGCTTCTCATACCAACAGTGCAGCCTTCCCTCTATCATCTCAAAACTCAGGTTTCCATAACAACCTTAAACCTCCCTGCAGCAGCCTGTATTCACCGTTGCTGCAAGCCTCTGCGTTGCACTCTGTGTCTCTCAAAGCTGCTGCCAATTGCTTGGTTCTTTGCAGACTGTAGTGGCCACCAGATTCATTCTGTGATTCACCTTGCTGGTCTCCCTGTCTAATGAGATTCCAGTCCAAATTGTCTTCTTTGTTTAGAACACGAGGTGAATTTACTGTAATCTGTTCAGTCTTACAAAATGCCTTCTCTCTCTAGTCTTTATTAGATGAAAAGAATTTTTGGGGGGCTTTTCTGCTAGCACCTTTCATCTGCTAAACCCTTGCCCCCTCTGGAAGTCTGTTTCTTCTGCAGCTTCAGCTACAAACATCACCTTTGTGCTTCTATCTAACTGCAGGGATTCTTTCTTTTTCAGGCCTGCTCCTCGACACAACACCAGAAAAACATGGAAGGATGATGGAATGAATTCATTAGAGTTCAAGCTCCTTTCCAGGACAAAGCATCCTCTTTATACCAACATCACTGTGGACATTGGGTACGTTCCCCCATTTTCTTGAGAGAATGAAACCAGAAGCAGAGTTTGGGCTCAGCACAGCAGCACGCGTAAGGGCATTCAGCCTCTACCTCCTGGTGTGGTGTGGGGCCTGCACCACCTGAGACTAATCCCTTCTGTCTTTCCTGCATTTCACTTTTCTTCCTATAAGATTTCAAAGAAAAGGCTTTGGGAATAGGGTATGATATTAATAAACAGGCTGCAGCTTACTAAAAAAATTGTCAAATCACTGTAAAACCAGTGCTGGAGCCAGACCCACCTCTCGGGCCTTGGGGATCAAGGTCTTCTTGACAGTAAGCTGACCCACGTTTTCTGGAACTTTGGTTCCATAGGTGGATAAGTTTGTCCTGCTTTGTGCTTAAGTGTTAATTGGGATGCAAGCCATTCTGTCAGATGGGCTCTCTGAAGTGCTGTATTTTAAGAAAGTGTTGAAGCCAGTTACAGTTCTGTAAATATCTTTTGTCAATTTGAGTAAAATAAATTGAGTTATGTGTTTGGGTTAAGATTTTCTAGAATATTTAATGAACGCAATAAAGGAGAAAGTTGCCTTGAAACCAGAGCTTAAGTCCTTGTTTGTTCTAGCCTGATCCATTAGTGTTTGAATGTTTTTATTGTAGCTGTAAGTAATTCAGGCTGAATGGGACGTGAATCTGTCACCCAGTCTAACCTCCTGCTCAGCATAGGGAAATTAATCTAGTATTTCAGCTGTTGCTCAGACATTAATTATCTTTCAAGGTTGATCTGTCTTCAACATAAAATACTTCTGAGAAATGAAATACTGGAGGAAAAACTAAGTCAAATATGTCAACAGTGGAGCCGTGACCCTGACAGGAGTGTATTTGTACACACCTGACTGTGAGACTGATGCCATCTGCCCAAGACCTTCCCCTTTCTGTAATCCATCTTTCTCTGTAAAGTCAGTGAGTAGCACTGCATACCAGGTCCAATTATTTTGCAAGGATGACACAGGGTATTTTTGCTTCTCACTTGTAGATACTAAAATTCCCTGTTCACTGAAAAGCTGCATCTGTCCCACTAACACCTGAAAATGTATTTAAAGCTTCAGCCTTTTCTGCAGTTAGAACGTGTCAACCAACTAGAGAACCATTCTTCAGTATTATAGTAAGCAGAAGTTGTATTTTGTCTTGTAACTCTTAGTATATATACAATATACTAAGAAAGAAAACAATATACTAATACACTAACGCCCCTGGCTTCACATGTACCTGGAACAGGATATCTATCCAACACAGAGATATAAGGAGAGTTAGGTGTAATGCAGTACAGAAAGCAGAGTGCTCTGATCAAGATTTTAGCAGAAATCCTTCAGCATACTGGAACAGTTCATTAACCACAGACTTTCACCAGTCTTCTAAAATTAGAATCACAAATAATAATAGCCTGGGTATGTATACCAATATGCACTCTGCTAACAAAGTGGCCAAAAAGCATTAAAAACTGTGGACAGCAATTTCTTTCCATCTGACATAGTTGGCCACTGCATTTCCTTCCATATCTCTCCAGAATAACACCCACAGCGTACTGCAGAACTGAGACTTTCATTTTGCCCCAGGACACTCCAGAAGTCCCACGGCAGGGTGAGTTGTGCTCATAAAGGACAAGAGAAGCCTTTTGAATTCAATGGAGTGTATTTATTGAGAGATTTTTAACATCTCCTCACCTCTTACCATTATTGCCCTTCCCTCATACATAAGCAGTTTTTCCTCAGGGTGAAAAAAAGTTAGCTTTTCTCAGCAAATTGGTGGAGAATTCTTGTGCTTTTAATGAGAAAAGACTGGCCTGTTCCTTTTGAAGTCATGGTAGTGTTGGCAGTGCTAGGCTGCTCCCCCCTACAGCAAATCAGAAGTTTACAAATAGTTGCAAGAACAAAACTTTTTTCAGGAGACTTAGTTCAAGTCCTTCCAATGGACCAGCCCAAACAAGGACACTTTTGCAAATGTCCCAGTAGAAAGTGCATAGAAGAACGTCACGACCTGTCCCTCAGGTCAGTCTCTATCATCTCCAGTCCTCCCAAAAGGAAATTGTCAGCCAGTCAATTAGGTGCTGTGAAGAAAAACTTTTTCTTCTGTGCTACTGAAGTACTCTTTCGAGCAGATTGCTGGGAGTCATCAACAGCAACCACAAACACAATCTGTTACCGTTTCCGATCACCTGGGTGGTGCTCACCCTTATGAGATCTTCGGCTGCATGCTGAAATCTACTGTGATGTTGATGTATAAAGGGTTGTGTTCCACTGAGAGCAGTTTATATGAACAAGAGTTCAGACCATCTGTTTTCCACGTTTTAGACACCTGACGTAGAATCTTCATCCTGAGGACAAAGAGGAGAAAATCTTCACTGGTGTGCACAGGAAAGGACTTTTGAGCTCGTTCCTACTGCTACTAAACTTAGAGGCAAAGCTACAGCCATTCTGCATCTATGGGAGGGTAACCTCGCTTCTCCTGTTCTCAGCATGGACAATCAGACATGGGGGAAAAAAGTCCTTTCATTTAATCTTTGAAATCGTATGCTCAAGTTGTGTCCATGTAACTATAACTTTGAAATTTTCAAAGGAACATCACCCAGTTGATTCTAGGCAGATGTCATGTACAGAACAGCTGCCAGCTGTGACCAGTGGTGTCCCCCACAGCCTCTGGGTACCACAGAATGCCTGTTTGGCCTAAAGCAGAGAGCTTGGCCCCCAGGTGCTCAGCTCCTAGCAACATAGCAACACAACACAAGGTGGAACGCTGTTCTCCACTCACCTCTCTTGATTCACCTCATTACCGTGGTCTCGTTTGTGGAAGATCATTGTGTACCTGCCAACCTCAGCAGATGGCCTCACCACTTTCATGTTCTGCATCTGAACCCTGGAAGAAACAATAGTGTCATGAGCAAGACGTCACCTATAAATAAGCTCTTAAGGGAAAAAACGCAACATTTGGAGATTTCATCTCGTGAAGTTGCAATCGAAGCAAGCACAGAGAACTGTAGGAAACTCATCTTCATCTCTTCCACAACCCATTTGCTAAAATGGGGCTCAGAGTTGGGTTTCTGGAAAACAGGTCCAGTAGGGTGACAGACACTTTTTTTTTTTTTGAACAGAAGCAGGTGGTTACTACAGTAGAGATCATGTAGAGCTCTAAGCATACATCACACAACAGAGTACATTTAATTAGCATTGTCTGCTCTCATTTGTGCTGCCCTCTATTAAACCTAGGAGGGCTGCAGCAAGATTCCACACATTTTACAACAAGTTCATTTCAACTTCTGCAATAAAAGCACCTATACCTCATAGTTCTCCACTTAATTAAAGCTCTTTTGCTAATAGTTGGCACCTGCAATTTTTTTTTCTTTGTAGACATGAAGAACAGTTTCTTTCTGAGAACAATGCCAGAAACACTGAGCCCCATGCATGGATTTAAGTGTCTGACATCAGGCACTTGGTTGGAGCTTTTGGCCTTAAGCATATCTGTGGAGCACAACAATTTTGCTCTGTCAGCAGCAAGGGTTAACTTAATTACAATGTAATTAAGGAATAGCCCAGGTCTTTGCTAGACACATCAGCAGCTGAAAGAGCAATAGGAAACCAAGGACTGAAGAAACCGAGCCCCTAGAGCTTTCCAGTGACTTCTTGTAGCAGTAAATTATGAAATAAGTGATGTGAAAATCTCTTTGTGATGTGCATCTTAGGAAGGGGCCCAAAAGAGATCATCACATTTGGCTCGATGCAAAACAGTAGGACCTAGAGTATTCCAGCCCAGAGTTCTTAAAGATACTGAAGGGGATGCTGCCATCTGCTGTCTCCACAGAAGGAGGCTGCAAGGATCTTCATACAACCACCAACCGAGACAAGCTTCCCGTTACCTATCCGCTGCCAACTCTGTAACCAGCCCAGTCCAACATCTACCCAAGAGGAAAGGCACGAGCCAAGACCAGTTGCAGTGTGCACTCTGGGTCATACGATTTGGTTTCCACACCAAGACCACAACACCTGCAAAGTTACGAGGTGCCATGCACAAGCAAGCATCACTTCTGGTTCCAGCCCTTTGCAAACCCTGTGGAGACCCTCAGCAAATCCTGCTCATCTGCTGCCCACAAAAACATTTGAAAGAACACCACTGTCACCTTTGTTCACTCATTAACTGTGACACTTCTCAGGAAGCTGGGGAATAAGACAGTACCAAGCCACCCCTCTACCACTAGAAAAGCCAGCTACCAGGAGGTCACAGAGAAGTCGGTGTGTCTAGCTAGGGGTAAAGAAGGGGGGGGGGGGAAAGTTATAATTAATAAGGGACAGAAATCAATGTCACCAATATATCTTTTCAATTTCTTGAGATGCAGCTGGCTGATCTGCTGAACTGACACAGAGAAAAACTCTCATTTGGAAGTTCCTAAATTTAACACAATTTCACTAGTGTAATATTACCAGGGGTAATAACTTTATGTCCCCCAAATGTTTGCTTGCATATTTAAGCAATTGAAAAGGGTAAACACTGAAGAATGACAGAGTACACCCAAGTTAGAAATTGACAGGCTCTGCCAGCAGAGCTTGCAGGGTTGTGGAGTTTCTTATTGGTGGGTTTTTTTCCTTCCTTCACTAACAGCAATGCAGGACACTGGGTTTCCTCCTAGGCAAAGGGAAAAGATCAACATAAAAGTTTTGTTCACTTCTTTGTCCCACTAAACCTCTCAAACTAACAAGTTTCTCCTACTTTGACAGGCATGTCTACAAAAAGTAGTTTTAACAAGAGCAAAGGGCATATGTATACACATGCAGTCTTCCTAAAATTCAGGTTATTCACTAACTATCATCACCACCATCCACGTACAAAATTAAGCCCTGCTTGGAGTAAATCATGGTAGTCAATGAATGCAAAAAACCTAGTCCCACCAAAACATTCCCACGCTCTTGCAAAGCATTGGAACTCAGTAAATTTGTGTCTCTGGAAAATCATACTCCAGTCTTCAGTCTCACCCTTTTGGTTATAAACAATTTCCAAGCAAGAATACAAATACCATGTGTCTGAAAGCAAAAAAAACGCAAACAAAATAACAACAAAAAAATCCCCCAAACTCCACAACAAACCCCACACCCAACCAACAATGCTGTCAGGAGGAGGATGAGGTCTCAGGCACGCTTAACCTTTTTGAAGAGGAAACCATTCACAGAACGACATCTCACACTCCGCATCCCCACTGCAATGCTGTTTTGAATTGGATGCTCCAATAGTGTTCCACCTTTGGAGGCTGGGTGTGAAGTCACACTGATCTCTTTAATTTTTATTTTTTTAAAATCAGTGCCTCCCCATCTCGCACCCATTGCCCTCTAGCCTTTTATTTATTTATTACCTGATTCGAAGGTCGTCATCTTCTCCACCCCAACCCCAGTAGCTGTTAGAGAATCCATTCACCTTGGAAAACTGATCTCTTGTTAGAGCAGTTACACCTCCAAAATATCCTTTGTACCTTAACCTAGAAGTATATGAGAAGTGAGAATGAAGAATTAGAAGTGAAGTTCTACCAACAATGAAAAAGTCACCCTGAAACTCTAGATCTAGACCTGTCTTTCCCAGAGTTAAGGGTGCACAAATCCATGAGGTAGGTCTTCTTCTCTTTCTCTTTTCACAAAATGGTGGTGATTTGCTCAGTCCAGAACTGTCCAACTGAGAGAACGTAACCATCTTCAATAGTTTCTCTCTCTTTCCGCGACTCCCCTTGCCAGCTAAAAAAGCACTTCACCTCAAGAACTCTGATGAGTAGAAAAGGAACAAAGCTACACACCAATACAGTGGAAACTTCACAATAATGACAGCCATCGACTATCTCAGAGCTGAATCTTAAAAACTTGAAATTAAATCAGACCACAGCAAGGGGGCACGTGCTATGGGATATTGCAGAACCAATTCCAAGGAAAGGTACAGTGTAAGTTACTTAGTAACCTAATGTAATGGAGCTCAGCTCTGAAGAAGATTAATTTTTAACACGGCTGCAGATGGCATTTTGATTTCTAGACGTATGTGAATCTAAACAGAGGAACAAACTGCCAGGGCTAGACAGTATCCCTTGTGGCATTTTACATGCCAGACAAGCAGAGGTGCTTGGGACTTCGCTCCAATAATCCCTTTGAGCCCAGGGGTTCCACCAGTTTTCAGTCCATCTCACTAGTCCGTACTTCATTCTCCTTGCCTGTCAATTAACCAAAGCAGTGTTTCTGTTGCGCTGGTGTGTGACCAACCTGTAACTCTCAGCACGCAAGGTGCAGTGCTCCAAAAACTTGTCACGAGCCTAGTTCATTTGTGCCTGTTCCTGTTTTCACTGTCTGTTTTCACTGAATAACTAGAAAGTGAACATTACTCTGTTTAAGGATTTGGACTTTCCACCTCTTTCTCATATATTTAACAGAGGAAACCCAGAAATGAAGCAGAGCTTGACTTCAAAGTACTCTGAAATCAGCTTTTGAAAAGCCCACTTCTAATTAATATTTAGAGTGACATGACATAAGAGGTGACTTTTTAAAGAAACCACATTCAATGAAACCACTTTAGCCACTAAATTCACCAAGCTCGGGAGCCTTTTTTGTTTGAGGTGGCCAGAACCTGACTTTTCACTTTGGATTATTTCTATCACACTATCACTTAGGGGGCCCACTTAGAAGTGAGAACGATCCTGTATTAGACGCTGTACGGCCAAATAACTAAAGGGCAACCCTATCCCTTGGTGAATTCTCACACTTGAGCTCTCAATATCAGAAGTTCAACAGCAAAACTTAAGTGGGGAGTTTTATTGGCACAATAGTGAGATCACACTGTCAAATTACAGGACCAGGAGACTGCAAATGTGTTTCTAGCTTTGATAGAAGGTCTTTGCACAACCCCTGTCACATTGCTTTCCTTACCCCAGAAATCAGGATGATGACAATGATCATTCATACAGGTGACCATGCAGATGACTTCAGAGGTGTCTGTATGGTCAGAAGGTACTCCAGAGAGGCAGAGTGTTACCACCAGAAATCTGGTGTACAGCTCCATCAGAAGAGGAACATTACCAGTAATACGGTACTTCCCAGTTGGTATTCTTTCCATATTCCTGGTCTCCTACCTGTATCCAGTACTGTTTCTGCCAACTACAAGGTGCTTTGGTTGTCCATCACACATATAACTGTTGAAGTCATTTTCTGGCACCAGATCCACATCATGGAAAACGAAACAGTCCCAGTTTGCTTCTTTTAGGGCCTCTATGTATCCTACATTCAGCAGTTTAGCTCGATTAAATTTGGTGGTGCCAGCCTGTGGAAGAGAATGGAAAAAAAGCCTCTGAAGGAGGTGTCAAACCTTTTGACCCAGAACTGTTCTTGGGCATTTGTTCTAATCATGCAACCACATTCATGCATCACAGCCTTTACAGCAGTAACTACAGAAGGAGCTACCCTATAGCATTAGATACACAAAGTGTTTCTGCATTCTCTCCTTGTCATGAACAAACACAGCCAGGGCCAGGAGGGGCTACGGTTGTCTGGGCACCGCAAGTACACACGCTTCGTGATGCAATTTTAGTGCTGTTGCTGCTCCTGGCCTGGAGTGCCCATCAGGCTACATAACAAAAGAGGCATCAGTAAACAGTTTAGGAAATGGCTCTCCACACAGCTGTGTCAGTAAGGCTTACGGAAGTTTTAGAAACAAACAAGGAAAAAACACAAACCAAACCAACAAAAAAAATCTACCCAAAAAACATTACTCCTGTACTAATTCAGTTATAGATGTCAGAGCTCCTGCCACAGAGGATGTATGTTTGTCCAGTCAGTTCAGAGTACAGCCATGCTTAGAGAGTTCACTGCATTACCTTAGGTCACACAGTAGGTGGCAGAGTGGGAAACGAAAAGCAGATCTCTCCATTTTTAACTCCTATCTATAACCTAATTATTATGCTGCACAGGCATTCCCTGTAGCACAGAGCTTGACCCAACTTTTACTAGTCTTTGTTGTTTGCTTTTGCTGTTAGTGCATCTTGGCTTTTCAAAAATACAATTTTTCCACCTTTGAAGTATACATGTATATAGACACACCTGGCAGTTTTGTAAGCTTACCTTGACACTCTCCACTCTGGAGCAACAAGTGTGCTTATCTTGCTGTTTATTTTTAACTGGGCTGCCAGCCTGTAGAAAGCTTTCTGCTCCTGAGGACAAGGTGATGAGTTGCCTCAAGTTTCCACCTGGGAGTCTAAGGGCCAAGCCCTGTGCTCCCAGAAGCTAACAGGAGAGTTATTTTCCAGAGCTAGGAACCTGATGTACTTGAAAAAATAAGAAAAGCAATTTTCAAGAGAAAGGGGTCATTTGCTAGAAGCTGCCTGGACTGAAAGAAGCTCCATGGGGGATGAGAAAGAAGCTGGCCTCCCCAGCCTGGGAGAAGGTCACCCGTAGGGAAAAGCCGTTGTATACAACACATGTTTTATTGTTCTGAGAAGTAACACTCTGCTCTGACCCAGCAATTTGTTGAAATGGCAATGGCCATCTGCACCAAGAAGATTTATGGCTCCGCACCTGCAGTGAGGGAAATACAGCCCAGTGCCTGGTCTGAGAAAGTAAGAGAGGGATAATTAATTGCTTCCATTTTCAGTCAGCGAATGAATTTTCCAAGAAAAATTAAGATACAATGTATCCAAAAATCTATTATGACAATTTTCCGAGTGGTTTTTTGGGGGGCTGTTTAGGGCTTTTTGGGTTTTTGTTTGGTTTTTTTGTTTAGGTGTCCTGTATATGAAAATATCCATCAGATAATCTTCTCCTGATGATGAAAACATAGGTTATTGAGTGAACAGAACAACTCAGGTGACTAATAAAGAACGTACAGAGAACTTAACTTGTATTGTGCACCAAACCCAGCCTAGTTCACAGCAGCAGTACAGTCGGGCACCACAGCCCACTTCCTGTGCAAAGGTAGCCCAAGGACAGCTAAAATGCCTTTCCAGGCAGGGCAGTTTTCAATGTTAGACCAGATGCTGTGCAAATAGCAAAGTTTACTCTCATCTTTTATTGAGGGGAGAATTGTCCCCCCTTGTTTCTATGCAAGCAGAACACTGACTGCATGACAAACATGTTAAGAAAACAATTATTCTCTCTCTCTAGGGGTAAATTGCAGACTGGCAATTTTTCAGCACTGCACTCACGTTTGCACACATTTGTGTAGAGAAACACGATTTTCAAGATGTTACAAGAAGCCCATAAAGAAAAGATCTGGAGTACACCCTTCAGTGGCTCAAGGAAAAAAAAATAAACATAAAGAGCCCACATCTTCATCTTCCTCCAAAGTAAACTGTGTATTTTAATAGTTAAATCCTGCTTTTAACTTCTTTAAAGATACTTAAAACAACTGATGACATCACAAATAGGGAGTGAAAATAGATTTGCCATAAAAGAGTTTTGTTAGACCCACTTTCCAGTCTTTGAGTATGCCTATCTACATAGAAAGGCTAAGCAGAAGTTTCCGGTCTCCCCAGTAAAAACTCTGACAGAGCAAGTCCAGACTTGACATTGCTGCTCACGAGACAGAACTTTTATACTTCCGTATTACTTTTTGCTAACATGACAACAGCCATTCTCCACCTCACACACTTCAATAAATAAAAGAACGTATGCCCATTCTCCCAATGATTTATTGCTAACCACTGCTCGCTAGCTGGAGTGAGCCATTTTCTGTATGATTTCAGTACATACTAATTCAGGAAAAACGTTTGGTTTTTCCACTCTATAGGCCACGTGATGACTCTAAATGAAAGAACAGACTGAAAGTATATATCCTGCCATGACTTTTGTTCTACTATGCCATTGACCAGAAGCGTAAACTTTCACCTAGAAAACAATGCCTCATACTAGTTAATTGACTCTAGCATCTTTAAACAGAAGGAAAGAGAAACTATATTAATTTAAGACCTTTTTCTCCTGCTGTCTGAAAAATCTGTTTACAATCAAATCAGAACATGTACATAAATGATAGTAAAAGAAAGCAAACACAACAGAAGATCAGGACCAAGACACCATATTACAAAAGAGGAATCTATAGTGCTTTTAGCTCATATGGCCAGAAGGCAAGAACCTTTCATGAAAGTCAATGTGGCACAGGTCTTGTATGCTCACTGACTCAGCAGAGATAGAATGAATGCAAATAAAGAAAGTAACAGATCTTCTAGGAACCAAATGCTCTGCCACGACTACTTCTTCCCACAGCCCTTGCTGGGCAAGTAAAGCACCTTCAAGCAGTGGCTGGCATGTTTAGTTTGAGAGAGCAGAAGTAAGTACAACCACATGATACACACAGCTTACTAAGCATGACAGCCAGCAAGCAGATGGGAGAGGGGAGCTAGATACAAACTGAGGCTGTCAATCCAAACAACTCCAAATTTAAAGACAGAAAACATGTCAGCCCAGTTAGGTATGTGTATACTGCAAGAGAAGCGAGTCGCATTGGCAAAGATGCTTGCTTTGAATGCTAACTCGGAAATAGGAAGGAGAAATGGACATCAGTTAAAGACGGTTTGTTAATACTGCCTGGCTTTGCCAACAGCAGCTGAGATCCTGTACTGCTGGTAGCAATGGCTGCACAAACCCTTACATCCCACAAGTAGATGTGTTTGAAGCAGGCTTGGAGGACTGATGTTAGACAGACAGCAGAGGCAGCAGCATGCTGAGCACTGTTGTCATCCCTCCCAGACACATCTCTGCACAGTTGCCTCACCTGGTGAATAACATAGATGCCATAGTCCAGCTGCTGCCTCTGTAGGAAGGGGTGGAGATGCTCCAGGAGGTACAGCAGATGCTTCTCTCGACTGCGGTGTGGGATGAGGATGGCCACACGCTGCAATGCTGAGCACTCCGTAGGGTGATACCGGCCCTTGACTACCTGAGGGTTCTCCTTTTGCACTTCTTCTAGTGTGAGAGATGCTTTGAAAGTAAGTTTGCTGGCACCTCCTGTAGGAGAAGCACAAGAAGCTTTCCTGAGATGTTTCTGGTTGTGGCTAGCCAAGTCACCTAATGAGGTACCCTGTAACCAGCATTAAAAACTCAGGTTCAAGCCCCATTTCCCTGTCTTTCCAAGAGAAGAGTAGTGCTACAAGGGCATCACGCAGGTAGTGGAAGGAGAGGGTATTGAGCATTTAGTTGGTTAAATGATAGAGTAATGATGATAAAAAAATATGTTAAAAGAAAAAAATCAAGATAAATTCCACCCTACTGCAGAAGGACTGGCCAGAAGCAGCTGCCAGGGCAAAGCAGAGGAGAAGGAAGTAGAAAGAGACATAGAACTGTGGCTGCAAGATGAAAGCACAAACAAAAACATCACAGGCTTAAGGCTATAAATTTGTAAGAGAAAATGTACCAAGGTTTTCTGTAGCCAAATGAAATTTTCATCACTTCTCTTGCACTGAGCTATCATTCCAGCCCCTCCGGACTCAAACTTGGCACACCCATGTCAGAGAACAATGCAGGCAACTGTGATGGCTACAGCTGCAGTGCGCTTACTTAAGCAAATATATCTTGGGGGCAGGGGTGGGGGTACGCAGCTAGACAGCAGCTTTGTGGACTTCTTTCCCTACAAGAGGGAAAGAACCCAGCTTTTCAAATGAATCTCTTGTCAGGTTCACAAAAAAGAAGAGGAAAACAACAATGACATGGTACTTCAAAGCAGAAGGCTGGTGCTGCTAGCAATACCAAGAAACACACACACAAAAAAGTAGACTAATAAAAATGGCCAAATCAATGAAACAGTCACTTGTTTGAACCTTCACCGTAAGTTGTGCTAACCCCAATGCAGCTGTGAAGTCCTTCAATTCTAAAGGCAGAGAGACAAAAGTATATCTAACGATGAAAAGGCAAAAAACTGAGCAAAGGTGAAAAGAGTTGTGGTTGAGATTAAGATATTTAAACAAAAAAAGCAAAAAGTTGTGTGTGAGCAAGGCAAAAAGAGAAATTCATTCATTACTTCCTATTGGCAAGCAGATGTCCAGCCACGTCCTGAGAAGCAGGGCCTCAGCACACGTAGCAGTTGTTGGGAAGACAAACACTGTAACCATGAACACCCACCCTTCTTTCCCTGAGCTTTTATTGCTGAGCACTATAAATAGTATGGTTCATATGGTATGGAATGTCCCTTTGGGTCAGATGGGGTCAGCTGTCCTGGCTGTGTCTGCTCCCAAACTCTTGCCCACCCCTCCCAGTCTATCAGATTTTGGGGGGCCAGGGAAGAGAGAAACAAAGTCTCAACAGGGTGCTAAGACCTTTCAGCCACAGCCATTCACTGAGGTGTTGTTACCAGAGCTGTTTCAGGGTCAAATGCAAAGCACAGCACCGTGCGGACTGCTATCCCAGCCAGAGCCAGCACAGGCACCCTGTGCCACAAGTGGCTTCCTCACTCAGAAGTGCTTACTGCAACCGGTTGCATTGTATGTTTCACAAGTGTATAGGAAGAAAACCGAGCCAGCAGCACCAAAGCAGATGTAACTTGTTAGAAAGAAGAAAGCACCATCACTTACGCAGGTACGGAGACAGAATTGGGCAGTGAGTCTGAAAAAACTTCACCATGGGAAATTCGGCAGTTGATTCGACCTTCGCTTCCTTTTGACTGCCATGCATGCTAATTACCTTTCTGAAATCCTTTACCATGCTCTTAGCTTTAACAATTTGCTCTCTGGAGTCCACAAAGTAGCAGAATGTGGCCCCTAGCACCATCGAACACAAAGTGATAAGCACTAACACTTTGAACTTATAGAAGAGGTGGAAAACATAAACGTTCAAGGCCATGGCTCTCCCTGATCTGTAAACAGCTTCCTCTGGCTTGATGCCAAGGCAGGCCACCGTGCATCCAGTGGGGATGAAACCAATCTGAGAAGAATGTCACAGTATGGAGGGAAAGTGGGAAGCAGAGAGGGCTGCCACGCTTCCTGAAGTTTCACAATTCATGGAGCCGTGGTGCTGTTTTGCTCTTCAAACGTCAGAAAATATGACTTAACCTGGACAAAGGAAAAAAGAAGGAGAGAGTTAGTTTCTGCAGCCTTCCACTGCTGTAACTTCACAGACTTGATTAAAAAAAAAAAATAAAACAAACTTATGACAAAAAAAGAAAGAAGCAGCAAATATGAACGACTGGTCAGAAACTAAGACACTGAACTTTGGTCCTAGCTCAGCCGCAAACCAGCTGCATGATTTTAGGCAAATCACTCTCCTGCTTTGTTCTTCACTCCCAGTTATTTGGTTTTGTGGGTTGTTTGTGTTTGTTTTTGGTTTGTTTTTTTTTTTTTAAGATCAGAAATCGCAACCACTATGCCACGTTATGCCTGTGTACAGTGCCTGGCGATACAGAGGCTTTACTACTTCTATTCCTACCAAAATTAACAACAGCTGCAAGGCAAGGGATTCTGCTGGCTGTGAGTAAAGTCAGCTCCCCTCACCAAAACAAAAACCACATAAATCTCTCCAGAATTAAACCACTTTCTTCTGAAAGAGAATATTATTGACAGCAGAGCTATGTTGCTCTGCACAACACACTGTGAACTGCACAATACTTAACAGGCATCAGAAATCACTCCTCCATACCTGCTGCCTGCCAGTACCACCTTGTGGGTCTTTGCCCAGTGTTCCCCTCTCACATGCTACTGTAGGAGGCAAATCTTCCTGCTTTTCAAGGGAAAGGTTCAGTTTGTCAGTGTTAGGTCTGTGAAGATCCAATCCTTGGTTCTGTTTCTTGCCCTCTTTCAAGAGCTTCATTTTCATACAGCCTTTCACAGCCATCATACTATGAAGTTACCATGCTAATACTTCTGTCTGTTATTATCATCTCATAGCAGAGAAAGAATGAAATTTTAATAAAAGAGAGCTTTGATATAGAAAACACACAAGAAAACTGCCACCTGTGAGAAGAATAAGGACTGAGGCCAAGTGAAGCAAAGTTGGTGATTAAAGACAATAGACACGAAACAGGCTGGATCAAAGAGAAGAAATACAAAAACATGGACGGTTATTTTATGCCAGCTTTCAAAACATACATGAGATCCTGGAGAAATATCGCAGGCAAAAGGAATACACTAACTCTACATTCCCTCTAGCCCAGGTGTCTTCTGGAAAAGTTTCCAATTTATAGGAAAGTATGTAGGAGCCAGACCTAGGCCCACCAAGATGAACTACTTGATGTACTGCCTGAGCTTCTTGGGGTTCACTGGGAAGGACCAGGTGCTGTCCCTCCTGGCAGGTGGTACACAGAGTGCCTGACCTGCTCTCTCCATCCACATGCACCACACAGTGCTGCTCTGAGGAAGCAACAGAAGAGTTTTCAGTGAACTTAGCACTAGAAATGAAGGATCTCTTGATCTACTTCATCTCTTCATCTACATCTACTTCAACCACACAGACAAGAGCAAAAAGAAAAAATGAAAAAAAAAAAGACTACACCAGAGAAGAGAATAGTACTCACAAGGAAATGAGGGGAAAAAAAGGGGGGATAAAAGGATAGGTTCTCAAGAAGGAAAAAAAACCCAAAAAGCCATAGTGTCATACTAATAACAACAGATTTTTTGGGGGGTTGCTGGGTTTTTTTCCTCCCCTCTGGTCTTCAAGAACGCAAGGACAGAACCACCAAAACAAAGAAAGGAAGTTCAAGTTCTTCTTAGTCCTTTCCTCCTTGTCTCCTAGCCCTTGAGACCACATTTTCCAATGAATTCTTTCTGTTCTTAGGTAAATTACACTGGAGACCACCTGGGTCTCTGCCTCATTGTTTTAAAAGACACAGAAAAATTAGCTTAGTGCTCTCATTTACACCCTTTCCCCTAATTTTCCACATGGGAAATCATCAGAATAGCCTGTAAGGTATTGACAGCATGGGTCTCTGCTACTCTCCAAAGGAAAACCAAGAATGAACAGAACTAGTTTTTCTTCCGTTGATACCCATTAGCTTTATTGTCAGAACAGGAAGGGAAACACCAGCCACAGAGCAACATCCAACTGAACTACAAAATAAGAAAATCTACGCAGTTCAGGACAGTTATATACATCTTTAAAAAAAAAAATAAATCACGAGAATCATCACATCTAAGCTACATGCTGAGAGCACACAATACTCTTTCTACTGTCAGCTTGTAATAAAAAACTGGAAAGCAAATTTGAGGTGCAGTCAGTAACACATTTCACAGATACAGTAAGCTCAACTACTTTTTTTCTGAAGGTAATTTCATAGAATCATACAATGGTTTGGATTGGAAGGCACTTTAAAGATGATCTTGTTCCAAGCCCCCCTGCCACGGGTAGGGACACCACCCACTGGACCAGGTTTCATTTTATAATGCTATGAGGAGTAAAACAGTATCCAGATTCCAACAGAACATATATAAACTTTGAATGCAAATACAAACAAATCTCAAGCCTCAGTTCTAAAAATCTTCACACTCACTCAGTACACCTCCTTGCTGTATTTACTTACATACTGTGGTAAAACCATACTGCCATCACTTCTCTCTTCTACACAGCCAACACAGAAGAGTGAACTAGAAATCTTTTTCTTCTTCTGTATTATCAGAGTTGTTCAATGAATTCTTACTACTGGGAATGCAGGCTGATGGGGGCAAGGGGACCAAGATGTGAAAAAGCATCAGGAAAAGAGGGAAGAGGAAATTCTCAATTAAAGACAGAGAGAAAAAGAGCAGCAGGATTCACTGTCCAGCAAACAGGACACTCCAGTTTGCCCAAGAAAATAGGAGAGCATAATCATTGGTTTACAATTAAGAAAAATTAATCAAAAAGTTTGAAGTGGGCTCAAGCAGAAAATGGATTAAACCCAGTTAAAAATCTCCCCATGTCTCCAAAGTCTCAACTCAGTCTCCACAACAGGTGTAGACAAAAATCACCCCAACTAAACAGGAAAATAAAAGTAAGCAGAAGGAAATTAAATGGGAAAACTATATGAATGGAAGAGAAAAATGCTGAGATTTTCAATTAATATGTTTTGTTTCAGCATTGAATTTTACTTCTTACATTTTGCTGAGTCTTGCTGGTGGACATGCCATAATAATATAAATTAGCAGCCATGGTGCCCTAACATGCAAAAATATTATACTGATACACTTTGATTTAAATAGTTCCAGTTTTTAGCTCAACTAATGAGCAGTAAACAGGATAGAGTTTGGTTGTGACTATTGCCAGCTGAAATACCAGTGCATGCCTTTCAGCCCAGCGTTACTTTCCAGTTAGCTGTCATTAGGTGTCATACCAGGGAAAGACTTTTGCACAACAGAAGTGGTTCTGAACCACAGTTTTGTTCAAATTTCAGCTCAGCTTAGGACTCTGACTCATAACTGTAAGAACTAAGGAAATAATGGTCCAATATGCTTTACCCTATCATCCCACTGTGTATCGCCACTGAAACAACAGGGATTCAAATAAAAGAGAAAATGCTCACCACCCACTGCCAGTTTATACTCCCCAATAGTTGCATACAGGAAATCAGTGATAAGCTACATTAATGACCCGAGAAGAGTAAACACGGTGGACCCCAGGGGTAATATTAGCCGGTAACTGTTAAATCAAAGGTCTTATGATTTGCTTTTTTAAACTCTACTTGCAAGTACCCATGCAATAATCTGAATTGCTTCCTTTCATAACTTCTCAGTTACTGTCCAGGATCTAGCAGGTGAATCAACCAGACCAAGGTAACCTGTCCCCACAATAAACCTGCACAAAACGTTTGCAAGAGGAAGAAGCTCCTTCACCACCACCCAACCCAAGTATGTCACAGACTAACCTGGGGTAACAAGGACAACTTGAAGTTAAGATACTGAAATTAACGTGCAAAGAATGACTATCAACAAGTGTTTTGCAAAAAAACAATTTATTAAATTCATAGCCTCCCACATTATCAGAAGGAGACTGCATTTAAAAAAAAAAAAGTTAAAACAGTTGTTTACCTCTGATGCACAGGCTGGTACAAGTGGGCTGTTGGCCAAAGAAATTCTTTTTTCCACAAATAAAATATAAAACTAAAAATAAACTATCCATGGAAAAAGACATAACAAAACATCAGGAAGCAATCAACAGTATTAGTCAGAAGAACAGGTTTCTGAAATACCTTTTATTTTGTTGTTAATATCCGGAAGAGCACTCAGATGTAAAATTGCTAAGGTACAAGGATGTTAAACCATGAACATAAACTCAGAACTTACAGCACCAACTTTATTTCTACCCTCCTCCCCTCCTATTGTTAGGTGAAATCTCACACATACCAATTTCCTTTGTCAGCTTTAGGAGATTCCTTTATAAGCAGATGTTACTAGAAGTTCACGGCTCTTGACTCTGACAAATATTCAGCCCGCACTACTGTCAGTGTGCATTATTTCACATAACTAACCCTACATCTTCACTGAGTTCTATGGCACCAACAGAATGTTCTCTTGCTTAAAATACACTTGAGCACTTCAACAGAACAGCATAAATATGCATATATGATCACAACGATTAGTCACTTTCAGCTCATCACAACACACATGCAAAAGGGAATAATTAATGTTTCATAAACTTGCAGTTTGGTATTTTGATGTTTTCTATGGAGAAAATAGTATGTATTTCAAAACATGGAATGCACGGAGGGATTTCAGGTATTTTAAGTAGGAAAGCATACACAAATCAACTTACCCATCAATTTACCTTATGTTATTACTTCATAGGTTAAAAGGTATTAGGTTTTTCTTTTCTCCTGAGACACAGGAACGGCATGTGCTCAGAAAGACATTGTCTGAATCTACTAAGAAGCAATAAAGAACCGTACCCTCATGAATGAAGGTGACTGGGAGACACAGTGAAGAGGTGGCACTTTTATGACTTCCACCAAAGATGGAGAAATTATAAGGACAATAACTAGAAATAAAAGAACAAGCAAGAGCCTTAAGAAAATCTTGCCTGTCCGAGAAATGAAAGGAAAACTTGATCATCACCCCTCTGGAGGATGCTGCTTTACTATTTCACGCTAAGG